TATTTGTTCAAAAACCGAATTGTTTACTTGGGGATGTCTCTTGTACCTTCAGTAACTGAGTTGATACTTGCAGAGTTTCTTTACCTTCAGTATGAAGATGAGGAAAAGCCGATTTACCTCTACATAAACTCGACAGGGACAACCAAGGTAGGCTTCCATAGGAAATTCTGCCATTTTTGAGAACGCATGCTGAATAGTGAACTTGAAACTGTGGTTTGTTTCAAATGAATGATTAAAAATCTGTAGATATTTATCTAATCCTTTAAAATATTTTAACAGGATTTATTTTCTTACATTTCAGAATGGTGAGAAGTTGGGCTATGATACCGAGGCTTTTGCAATTTATGATGTCATGGGGTTAGTAATCTTTATCCCTTCTCTTTATTTACTCCATTTTCTTATATCTTTCTTAACAAGAATCTATGGCTTGACGTGAATCCTGGAACTGCTTTCCCGAGTATCTAAACTGCACTTTAATACGACTATCATATCCAGCTTTTCTTGGCTTGTTATTTTGGGAAACCGAACATATATATCCATGCAATAATCAACTCTTATATTATCTGTGACTTCAGGTATGTCAAACCACCAATCTTTACTCTTTGCGTTGGGAATGCTTGGGGTGAAGCTGCTTTGCTTCTGACTGCCGGTGCAAAAGGAAATCGTTCTGCATTGCCCTCATCAACTATAATGATAAAGCAGGTTCTTCCTGAGCTTTCTTTTTAAATTTAAGTGGCGTCTCTTTCTAGAAACTTAGGTTTTATGATTCCTAGTTTTTGTGCATGCGTCTGTTACTCATTCATATTATTTTCTATTATGTAATAACTTTGTAGCCCATTGCTCGATTTCAAGGCCAAGCAACCGATGTTGAAATTGCAAGGAAAGAAATCAAGCACATAAAGACAGAAATGGTGAGAAAACCAACTTTACATGAAATCATTTGTGGACTCTTGTGATATGCATAGAATATCTTAGTTGCACCTTCATTATACAACAGTATCCAGTGGTGTTTGTGATATGTTTAATATGCAGGCAATGATGATGTACTAAAGGACATCTTAATATGCACCAATTAGTCATCAAATTATTCTCTTCGTTATGCAAATATGCATTCTCATTCCTTTACTCCTCACTATTATCTTTAAACTTATCTGATAAGATTACCCGTGTGTCTCTGTTCTGCATAATGTTATACTCAAGGTCAAGCTGTATTCAAAGCATATTGGTAAATCCCCGGAGCAGATTGAAGCGGACATGAAACGCCCAAAATATTTTAGTCCCAGTGAGGCTGTTGAATACGGGATCATTGATAAGGTACGTTAAATGGCAGAAAAATCTGTAAATCATATGAGTGGTTTTGTTTTCTGTCTACATAGAGTGCTTATCTTCTGCAAAATTGAATTATTCTCGTCCTGTAATCTGTTTGCAGGTGGTTTACAATGAAAGGAGCAGCCAAGACAGAGGAGTTGTGTCCGACCTTAAAAAAGCACAACTCATTTAAAGGTCAGAGTTGTCTTCGAAAATCCCCCATGATTAACAGGTAAGAGCTAAGACTTTCTCGCTATCATTCTGCATATTGAGTATAATGATGATGAAATTGGGTTTTGCCTTTTTGGACTTTTGTCTCCTATAATTATCGAGAATAAAATTTACACTTCTTGGGGGGACATATACTGGAAGAACTACTTTCGTTCTGTCAATTTTGAACCAATTATTTAGGAGCATTTACCAACAAAGAGCAACACCTGTAAAAGTTGAAATGCTTTGCACACCCCACAAATAGTTAATGATAATTACTTTAGCATTCAAGCAATAGCCTAACGAATACACGGAGACATATTTTTGTAATGTAAGTGCTTATAGTGGCCTCGTGTCTTCTCGTTTTGCATCCCCGTTAATTCCAATAGTTACTTCCCAATTTCCTCTGTTGCTCTTTTGAGACCCATTTTCTTTTAGTGATATCATTTTCATTGCCCATTACAAATATAAATATTGATGGCCGACATATATCCAAGGATTGTGCTCCTTCACACACTGGAACTCGTATCAATTTTTGTCTTAAGCAAATTATTAACCGTAAACCTTTGTCCTTCTTTAATCATTTGCATATTAACACCTAGCATCGATAGGTCTCGATGACTAAAAGTAATGTTATTCTCCTATTTAAAAATGACTGTTACGACATTATCATTTTGTTATGACTTCTAATTCTATTTGGCTTCTCCTTTTTTAAAATAAAATACTTTATAGTGACATTATCATTTTACTGTGATTTTTTAGGTTGGTGATTTGAACGCGGATCGAAGGGGAAGTCATGAACCGAAAGTAAAGTCTTGAAAACATGTTAAAAAAGGTTACTTACTAATGCTATTATTTTAGGGTTATTCGAACAGAAACAAGGCCATATATGTGTAGGCTTGTGAATGCCTAGAAACAGGATTGGTGTATCTTCAATATGCTTTATAAACTTTTATATGAATCATTTTCATTTGATCACTCCTTAGTCCTGATGCTTATCTTCATCAGTATGTCTATGTGTGAATTTGATGGAGAGATTAATGAGCGATGACATAACGATAAAACCCACCAACCCCATTATCTGTAAAGACTAAGCCCTTTTCCTATGAAAATCCCACACTTGTCACAAACACGCATTGTTATTTTCATTGGACTTCACATGTCAACTGTTTTGATGGCGTCACCGGTTCCTTGCGTTCAAAACAACTAAACAAGTGTATGTTTTTTTAATGAATCGGAAATACAAAATATCTAAGTAAACCTGAAGAATTTACCTGTAATTCTGGGTTGTGTAATTAACGAAAGAGGTCACAATTTTGTGTTGAGCTAATGATTGTCTATAAATTTTCCTATGAATTGGAATTCTCATTCAAAAGAATAGTAGTATATTTGTGACAAAGAGAATTAATATCTCTAGCTAGGAAGGTGTGGGACAAGAAATATCATTGAGTGGATTACAACCAAACCAGCAACATAAAGGGTTTATATTAATATGAATTCTCTTTTGTTAGACTTATAGTAATCCTTTTTGTCTTTCTCTTCTCCTACTCTTTACATTATTATAACGATCGTTTTATTCAAATAAAAACCAAGGCTGCTGCTAGAGCCTACCACCTAATGTGTTCTCTTATCGACATCACTAAAATTAGGATATACACTGTTGTTTCTGGTGAAAAAATATTCTAAAGGGGTATTGTTAGAGCCAGTTGAGGAATATAACGGGTCGAAGACCTCTACAGTATGGTTTCTTTAATGAGTTCGATAAATGATTCTTTTATCTAGTGAATTTAGGAATTGAGATTTTTAGAGTATAAATACATGATAAATAATTTGTAATTCATGATTCACATAATTATTAAAAAAATTTTAAACAGGTATTTGCTTCAATTTACGATTTATCTCTCTTTGATTAATGTTTTCTTTAGTTTGATTTACAACATGCACATCTAAGCGCAAGTGTAATTACCTACGTGGTATGTTTATCTTAATTTGAACATCAAAGATAAAAACATATTTGATGAAATATCTTGCTGCTCAATATTTATGAATTACAGAAAGTAAAATGCTATTTTAGTCAACGTCTGTGTGTTTTAAACGGTTTTTTCTTTCCACGTTCAAAATCTCATGTGTGTGCATGGAAGAATTATTCACTCGTAACACAACCGGCTAGTCAGACTCAAAGATCCTCCATATGTAAATTTAGGTCTACATTATCCAAATTTGATCAACATGCAACTGAAGAAACTCTTTCGATAATGATCAAAACGGGTAATGCTTTCTTAGATTCTTCCAAGTCGTCTACTCGTCTCCATATTGGAATTAAATCTGGTAGCAGGTTCCATCAAGGAGGATGCGAACTGAAATTCTTCCAAACCATATCAGATTGGATTTAAATCTGCAAAACTCTTAGATGCTCAATTCAATATTCCGTGAACGTGAGCTACATGGCTCCATAGATTCTTCCAAACCGTTCCAGATCGGATATACTTTCTGTCCAAGTATTGGTTACAACTTGCTAGGCCATGTATCTAATATATGATTAATATTACTAAAGTGCTAGTACTGAGGGACAATGAAAACTTTGTGATTCCAAAAAAATATAGCACGCTTGGCATATTCTATTGAGTTCGTTCATCCAGTGCACAAAACAACTAACTAATCGTAAACCAATCTATTTAAGTATTAGGTGTCATGAACTTCTCGTTTTGGAGGCACGGCCTATCATTTTTTTAATAATTACTAGCTATACCCAAAAACGATAACCCCACCATTGTATTTTGCATTACATATTCTGGATACTTCCTCTCACTCTCACGTTTTATTTTTCTTATGACCAAATAATTTCATACAAAATCTACACTGATTGTCAAAATATATAATCAATACACAATATTCAGTTATTTACAATGGTTAAAAGCGAGAATGCATCAACCAAACAATAGTAACATAAGGGTTATTCTATTGGTGGAGACCATAAAATTTGTAAATAAATGTATCGTTTCTCTGCCAAAAAAAAAATGTATCGTTTCTCTTTCACCGCAACACTCATACGTACAAAATACAAAAGTATAATTTCAATATGTGATCCTCTCTAAAATTATTGTAAGAAATTAGAGATAAGCATCCATTGATACATGCAAATTCATGGTCTGGACCAACCTCTTACCTCCTCAATATTCCACGCCTTATATATTATTCAAAGTTAAAAGATAGAATGGACGAAAGAATTATAACTTATAAGAATAGCAAATTGCACTTTAACAACAACAACAGCAACAAAAAAAAATGAATGTGTTTAATACAATTGAGCCTCCGAAGTTAAATATCAAATTGGGTAATGCAAGTACGCGTAATAGCTAATATAAATTTGAAGTATAGCTTTTTGCCAAGTGGAAAGGAAAAATAGTACCGATGCTCGATCAAATGCATACATTATTATAATTAACACTCTAGCTACCTTCATCTATAAATACCGTATTAAACGTATCATCTATCTTCACATATCTGTTGTACCACTAATCTATTTTCGCAAATCACTTGTTAAAATAGTCTCTTACAATAGTTATAGATAAAAATATGAAGAGATCTCACGTTTTGCATCTTCTGCTTGTTCAAGTCATTTTCCTTTTGCCTCTCCTTTGTTTATCTGATGACTATGTTAGCTCTAGAGCTACTTTTTATGGCAGCCCCGATTGCAAAGCAAATCCTCGTACGTATTTGAATTTTTTGTGTCATATATCAAGTACATTAATTATGTCATTTTTAGTATTATTTAGCATGATTGGTAAAGCTACATTAACAGGAACATCTCAACATATAGAGTCAATATCATTATCACGTTAACTATTTAATCTATGTATAACAATATCATTATCTACGTATAAGTACATGTAGATGAACACGATTCCATTAAGTGTCCGTATCTTTGATTCGAGTATGACATTACGTTTAATAGTGAGATTTTTCCAAGAATCCGTTGGTATGGATAAAATGCATAGAACTTTCTAATATGAAAAAGGATGTAATAAATTTATTACTGGTTATGTATGCAGGAGGAGCATGTGGGTATGGAGAATTCGGAAGAGATATCAATAATGGTGAAGTGAGTGGTGTTTCATCCCGACTATGGAACAATGGAACTGGCTGTGGTGCTTGTTATCAGGTTTGTTTTTTACATATATTTTATCTAGTCCAATATTTTATCAATAACATTATGCTATATACTATAATTTCTCGTTCGATTATCATTACTAAACGAATATCATCAATTATTATCGATTATAAAAAAAGGTGAGGTGCAAAATACCTCCACACTGCAACGAGGAAGGAGTATACGTGGTGGCTACGGACTACGGAGGAGCTGGTGGTGACTTCATATTTAGCCTTGAGGCGTACGGACGTATGGCAAGACCAGGCACAGAGGATCAGCTCTATTCCTTTGGTGTGGTCGACGTCGAGTACAAGAGAGTCCCTTGCCGGTACGGAGGGTCCAATCTGGTGTATAAGGTCCATGAAAAAAGCTACAATCCTCATTATCTTGCCGTCCTTATCTTGTACGTTGGTGGTGTCAATGACATCCTCGCCGTTGAAGTCTGGCAGGTAAATTTCATCAAAAAGATTTCAACAAACAAATATTTGTATGTCTGTTTTTGAGGATCAAAATAGTTTTATTATAATCTATAAGTTTTTGAACCTAGACTTTTTGGCTTTTCAAAAAAACTACATACCTATGCCAAATTTATTTGGCTATTCGTGGTAATTACATCATTTCTACGTCGCCATTTAATTAGTAGTGCAAGTTAATCCGGCTGGTCATTGTCGATTTACTAATGACCACTAAAGACATGTTTATCAATTTATCATTAGTGGTGACGACGCACTGATATGTTACATAATCTTATCTAATTGCATGGATTAGCTAGAGTTAGTGAAGATCCTAGCTATTGTCAAAGATGAAACCCATCATTAATCTTTCTTAAAAATCAACACAGTGCCAATATCTCTACGTAGGAAATATTTCATACAAAATGAAAAAAAAAATTGTAATGTTTTGAATTTCTTGTTCCAGGACTCCTTTTAGCTCTAGTTTCAACGCTTTTCTTAAATTAAACACAATGTATTCTACAACACTCATCATTAAGACAATATATTTCTTAAAGATTAATAACATAGTTGTAAGCAAAAAACGGTTCGATGTTTTTTGAGTAAATAAAAACATGAATATATGATTCAGGAGGATTGCAAAGAGTGGCGACGTATGAGAAGAGTGTTTGGAGCTGTACACGACTTGGAGAATCCACCAAGAGGCACTCTCTCTTTGAGGTTCTTAGTCTACGGAAGCGCCGGAATCAATTGGGTCCAATCTCCGAACGCTCTTCCCGCCGATTGGACCGCCGGAGCCACTTACAACTCCAACATTCTACTTACTTGATCCCCTAACATTTTGCATCTTTCTCTCTATCTATTGTGTGGTTTCTCTATACATATGTAAAATGGAGATATATTTAAATAACGCCCTCTAGAACCATATAATAATTATCATAGTATATTCTTATAGTTATATTTCTTGTGTCTATTTAAGAATATTGTAATGATTTGTAAGGTTTTGATTAGTAATGGAATCATCAAAATAATGATAAAGTTTTACAAATAACTATAACTTCTTCTCAATCAAATAGTTTTCATGCTGCCAGAACAAATGGGCCCGAATATTTTATACACGCAGGCCCATTAGTATTCTTTAGGCCCATTAGATTTAAATAGAATTTCATACGTCGTCGTATCCAAAATAGACAAAACTTCCGCAGATTCTTTGCGAAAATCCAATTAAAACCAGAGAAGAAATCGGTGGCTTAATTCGATCTTCGAATCCTGCTCATGCTCATCCTCTTCCTCAGTCTTGTTCGATTCTGGGTGATAATTAGCGATTCTAGGATTCTTCGAGGCAAAATTTAACCGCAACTCTATATTCTACTCTGTTTTGTCTCCAACTTTAACTGAAGGTCACTATTCGACTCTGGAGTTTGTTTTACAGTCCTGTTTTGGATTTGGGTTGATGTGGAGATGCTTTAATTATCTATCTGTTGCGTCGAGCTGATCGCTGTGAGGAAGAAATCCTATTTTCGTTGAAACTGTGGAGTCGCAGAGTTCGTACAACACTTTCCGAACAGGTCTAGTGAGTAGGAATCCCCATTAGCGAAATATGCCGCAGGTTAAGATCATCGCGAAAAATTTCATGGACATGGTGGCGTCTCTTACTGCCATCAAGCTCGATAAACTCTACAACAATGTCTTCATCTGCGAGGCCATTCTCAGGTTGATTTTATGTTTTCTTTTATTCATAGATGATTTGTATGATTTGAAGAAACTAGTAGACCTAGTAATGAAATATATTCTTGGAGGATTTTGTGGATTTTACTTACCTGGTTGAAAATATTGTGGTTGTATCAGGTCTTTGCCACCTCTCGCCAAGAAATATGTATTGCAGTTGTTGTACACTGATGTTCCTGTACCTGCCACGATGTTGGAAGAATGGGTGCTTGCAGATGGCGTCTCTAAGCACAGAGCTGCTATAGATCGAATGATTCAATTAAGGATTTTCATGGAAACGACAGATAGGTATGCGCATTATTGCTTCTTTTATCCTATCTGAAATCTCTAGAGTTCATTTTAAGAGTGAATCACGAGTTTGTAGTTGGTTCGTTACTTCAGTACATGTAGTGTGGAGAAATATTGATGTTGAGTTCTTAGTTTTGAAATTGTTTTGAGAAAGATGTTGTCATTCTCTTGACGGTTTGGAAATTAACTTGGACACTCAAACACTCTAAGCTTATACTTATGCACTGTGCTTGGATTGGTTATGATTGATATATGGCAAGATGATAATTTTTCAGGAAAAAGGGAACCAGTTACAGCCTAAATCCTACATTTCAAAAGAATCTTCAGAAACATATAATTTCTGGGTAAAGACATCTTTACGTTGATGGTACAGTCCCTTTTCGTTTTTCTCTAGGTCTGGAAAAGATGCTGATGAGCTAAGCTTTAATTTTGCAGTGGAGTTTTGCCTAGGGAGCCTATGAACTCTAACAATGCCATTAAGCTTCCAAGTCTACAAGAACTCGAAACCTATGCACTTCAGCAATGGGAGGTGTGTAGTTTCTAATTACAAATTGATAATGCTAGTAAAATGGTAATAACGTGTAAGAGAAATATCTTTTTAAGTATGGATTTGGTTAGTAACTTAGTATCTGGTGATTTGTAATTATGTTCGTCAGTGTTTCTTGCTACAACTCATAAATTCGGGTCAAGGTGAGAAGCTAACTGGTATCAGTTCGTCCATGATGAAAATCTTCCAGAGAGGTTTATTGAGTCAGAGGTATTGTTGCTATATTTGTCTGTAAATTCATAACGGTGGCATATGATATAGTCATTTAATACCGTTTATGTGATTTTACAGAGACAGAGATGGCCCGAGATTAACTGAGAGTGGCTTTCAGTTTTTGGTATGCTAGACGTTAGTCATTGATCTCCTATTACTAGTATTCATATAACTAACCTTATTGACCCTAAATTTCAGCTGATGGATACAAATGCCCAGCTTTGGTATATTATCCGAGAATACATATCGAATGCCGAGGTTTGTATTATGCCTTAACAAGGTTTAGTTAAGTTGATATCTCTGTTTTTTCCGTATGAATAACCGAATGCCATTGGTGTTCAGGAGCGAGATGTAGATCCAGCAGAGTTAATTTCGTTTTTGTTAGAGCTTAGTTTTCATGTTACTGGTGAGGTATAACAGAAATTCACAAAGTCATTCCAGACGTTCTTGTTCTTTTGTAATGGAAGCTTGTTAAATAATTCGTTGAGCTCAAACATTCGTGTACATATTGCAGGCGTATAACTTAAATACCTTGACAGAAGTTCAAAGAAATACACTTAAAGACCTTGCAGACTTGGGATTAGTCAAGCTTCAACAGGTTAGACCATTTGTGATACCTTTTTCATTACCAAAAGAAGATAAACTTTGCAGAAGTTAAAGATAGAGTGATTATAGAAGTATATCATATGCTGAAACGATCTTTATGATTATTACAGGGAAGGAAAGACAGTTGGTTTATTCCTACTAAACTGGCTACAAATTTATCAGTCAGTCTGGCAGATTCATCAATCCGAAAAGAGGTTACACCTTTTTGATTCCCCTTCTTGTCCCATTTCAACCTACTACCAACAGTTTTCTTGATTTTGCGTATCCTTGTTGTTTGTTATTCCTCATCAGGGATATGTCATGATGGAAACAAACTTCAGGATGTATGCTTACTCAACATCTAAGTTACAATGTGAAATTTTACGTCTGTTTGCGAGGTAGAAGCTCCTGAACACCGCTCTCAAACTCTGGTCTTCTGCATCTGTTAAATCCTTTAGGTGTAAGTAGTTGCTACTCCATTTTTCCAGGATAGAGTACCAACTTCCAAACCTTATTGCTTGTGCAATTACAAAGGAAAGCTTGTACAATGCATTTGACAATGGCATCACATCAGACCAGGTAGAGTTGGTTTCATCCGAGAAAACGTTAACAGAACAAGATATTATGCTATCTTTGACGGGGACCTTTTACTGTCCATGAGACTGATCAAGTTGTGATGCTTCTCTTAAAATTCTGAATATTTGTTTTTACCTTTCTTTTGGTGGTTGCAGATTATAACTTTTCTCCAGCAGAATTCTCATCCACGATGTGCTGATCGAGTACCATCTATTCCAGAAAATGTCACTGACCAGGTCTATACTCTCTCTCCCCACATCTAGTGTTAATGATATGAAAACGTTTATAGGATTGATTTATAGACTGAAAACGTGTAACTACCTCCACTTTCCAATACATTGGGTCCGTGCTAATTGTTTACTGTTCTTTGGCAGATACGGCTTTGGGAGTCAGATCTGAAGAGAATCGAGATGACACAGGCTCACTTCTACGATGAATTTCCTTCAAAGGTAACAAACCTGATTCCTCTTTAAATATATATCTCAGAACCATTATAGTAAATCTGAGTAGCTGGAACTGTATCAAAATCATATGTTGGCAGGATGTGTTTGAAGCAGCTTGTGACTTTGCTCGAGAATGGAGAGGCCTTCTCTGGGAAGACTCTAAGAGAATGCGACTTGTTGTGAAATCCGAAGTTCACAATAAGATGCGTGAGTTTCTTCACACCCAAAGCAAGTAAAGTTTTGAAATTCACAAGGGGGATGATTGGGGATGTTTTCAAATTTCCTCTTATTCATTTGATGATTCTCTAAAATGTTTTAAAACCTGTCTTAATGAATCATGCAATTGTTAGAATTATTCGAAATCCAAGGTTATTGAATCAGCCATTTGTAAAAGTTCTTTAAAACCTCGTATTTTTTGGAAAACTAGAGATTTCATTAAACGAAAATAAAAGTCATTTGTACATTTGTATGAATAAATTTTGCCTTCCAAGAAAAGTACGTCGCACTTTTTGGAAAAAAATACCTTGGACAGACTACAATCTCGGTCTTTGTTTTCTATTCAGAGAACCAAATTCCAAATTATTAAAACCCAACAAAATGTAAGGCTACTATTTCAGCTTGATCAACTAAGAGAATCTGAAGCCTTGGACTTGTTCAGACAGAGGACTATGAATCTATTCTGTGTCCACATGATGAATAATACTACAACATCTGTCTTTTACCTTGCTTGAGGTTTTTCAGTGGCTGAGGATTCCGAATCCTGGATCTTCGCTCCCGTGTTTGCCTCTACAGTAGCATTTGCATCTCCACGTGCCCGAGCGAGTCTCTCAGCTTCTTCAATCTTTCTTATAGTTTCCTCTTGTGTTGCAGTCATCATTGTCCCCATCGTTTTCTTTTCTGATTCGAGCTGAACCTCCATTATGGTACCAGCTTGCTTGTCTATCGGTTTGAAGTAGTCTTCAATCTGAGACTCCTGTATTGGTAAAGACACGAAACAAAGTTAGACATGAAAAGCTTTCTGAAACTTGACACGGAAAGAAGTAGAACGAAAGGGATGAAAGCTTTCTGATTTAAGAAAGACACTCTGAAGACTGCTTTTGCTCTTCCCCCCCCCCAAAACTCTATGCTTTAAGAATCGCAAACACCATGAAACTAAAAACATTTTCCCTTCTTTAAATGTTTCGGAACCAAGCGTTTTCCCTTCTTTGAATGTTTCGGAACCAAAAGTACAGTACTTGAAGGACACAAAATCTCAAACATTTTACACTTATTGTAGATACATTATCGATATGACACAGGCGATATACTCAGTGGGGAATAACGTAAATCACTTGCAAACTTTGGACTGAGAATAAAGACAAGAGACTAACCGTATTCTCAATCTGCTTATTCAAATTCCGCATCTCGTCAACCATACGGCGGACTTCAGATAATATAATCTTCTCTGGGAGTCTGTTTATCTCTGCTTTCCTTTGTTGAGCCTGCAAGAACAAAGGTTACCATCATTTTGATCATTTAAATCAGATGAAAAAGGGCAACAATGACCAATCTTGCTAGAAGGTAGAAGTCACAAGTACTGCTGAACAGATAAAATGCCAAATTCTAAATGATTAGGAAACTCTAATGTAAGGAAGATCATATTTCATCAGTCACTTCAGTTTGAAGCCCAATTTTACTGTTTCTAGATACTATTCAATTATCACAACACACAGAAGTACATATCGAAATCAGGAACTGATCAAAACCCATCTTTAGTTTCACAATGAATAAACATAGATAATCGACATAAGAGTTTCTTCAATTTCTCATTTTCACAGTCAAGTAGAAAGGGTTCTTCAAATTTATGCAATCGACTAAAGTCCAATACTAAGAAATTAAGGTTTCATCATCTTATTCTACCATTCATTCTAAGACAATAGATTGAAGCATAGTGAGGGACCAAAAAAAAAAGAAAAAACCTGCTGGATACGCTTTTCGAGTTGCAACCTATAATTCCGAATTCTCCTTTCTTCATACCCAGAGAGTACTCTCACATAGAACATAGCTTTTCTCCCATATTCCAGCAGCTTGTTCATCTTTCCTGCGAGCCACCTGCGAGTTTGTCGAAACGATCAATGAAGAACAAAACATATCACAATCGATTAGTTTTTAATGGATTCTGCAAATTTAAATTTCCGCATATCACAGTCAAAAGATGCAACAAGATGCGTGAAACTAACTAAACTTGGAAATGATTGTTCAAAACCCAGACTTGGCTGAGAAATCCGAAGTACTATCGTTCGTTTAACATGGCGCATCAGTTAATCATAATCGATCAAATGGACAACGAATAACTATTCAAAGCTTCGATACAAACAATCAAACTACCGATCTAACGATTAAACGCCAGAATCTATTGCATCGAAGACTACGAAATGACGGAAATCGCAGGTCCACTCCAAGAAAATCAGAGGGAATCGAGATTAGAGAAGAAGCTGCAAATGTGTAATTATGTAATTAACTTCAAATTAGGTGCTAAGTATTGAATGACAGAGACGTACTCTCTAGTAGAAATCGGAGACAGCGAAGACCGGATTGCGAAAACGGTATAACTTCAAAGTCCTGGCTCTGCAAACGCACAAGTTGAGCGAACGACAAAACCGCAACGAAGAACAAAACTTTGGATTACACTGACAAACTCCGGTTAACTCCGGCTCCGGCGGCAAGATAACACCGTCACCGATCTCTCGCTTGACTTGAAGGATATCCACTGCTTCCGTGTCGTTCCCGTAGTGGGCTCAAAATATGGGCCTTTATAATATGTGGCAAGCTTTTCCGGAACTTGGCCTAGTCCGATTTTAAGTCCTGCCAAAAACTTTTTTATTTGAAAATATTTATTTTATTTCTATACACAAAGCTTCAATATTTGCTACAATAAATTTTTGGACTTAAACTATCTTGAATTTTGTTATAACACATATCATATATGGACTCTTATACCGGCCCATTAGACCCATCAGGGCATTGTACTTAACCTATATTCCCTATGTACTCTATATATACATTCCAGTGATTAATAAAGTTTCGAAGTTTTCACAACACGTTATCAGCACGATAAGACTCTCTGAGCGAAAAACCCTAATAAATCCGGCCACCACCAAAACTCTAAAAGCAAGTCGAAACTTAAAAGACGCATATCTTCCAAACCGTGAGGAACCAGAAGACGATCTACATATCAAATCGAAGCCCTCGACGAGACGAATCTACTGGGGAAAACCGTTTGTCGATCCAACGTCGGACGCGCCCTCACGCACACTTACAGTACACGACGATCAACCGAAAAAAAAAAAACCAAATCCAAGTTTTTCCTTCTTCAACCAGCAGCTTCTCCAGTTTTGGTGATCAATCCTTGGAATTTGTAGCGGCTAACTGAGGTCTATTAGCTCCCAGTTTCATTAGCCTGTCAGAAATCCAAAGGTGGAAAAGGTATCTTCTAAAACTGAGAGCCATAGAACCTGTTGTTTAAACACTTCAAAACCCTATAAAAAAAAAAAAAAAAAAAATCGATCTCTAATTGATTGAAAGTGTTTGATACTCTGATGATTGATTGATAACTTGTTGATTGATTGTTTAAATTACAAGTTTATGCATGTTCAAAGGTTTTAAACTCGTTTTATAAAACCCTAATCTACAAAAACCTAACAACCGTTTTTGGCCATGTTTATGGCATAAACCTATTCGATTTTCTTCATGTTTAATAAGCTTGTTGCAGCTTATTTGATTGTTGATTCTCTTGCTTGAAACACTTGATTGAATAAACTAAAAAAATCAACCCTAAATCCTAAGCTTAATTCACGATTTTGTAATCTTCAAAATCGTAAATCATAATGCTTAAACCCTAGTCCTTTTCACGTGATTTCTTTGTTGTCCTTGTGAAATTATTAAAATCATAGACCATAGATCCTATAGATCTCGAAATCACATCCAAAATATGTTTTCCAAACTGTTAAAACCCTAGATAAAACCCTAATCATATTCGGCTCCCCTAGGGTTCCTCCTAAACCGCCTAAAACCGACTAAACCTGGTTCTCATTAACCGAAATTATATTCGGCTTTAACCGATTAAATCACAGCTATTAAACCGACATCATGTTCGGGGTAACTAAAACCATACCCTTTAAAATTTACTATTTCCGAGAAAGTTCCCTCTAATAGAAAGTTTCCTCATATAAAAACTTTCCTCATATAGAAATTTTCCCGACATAGAAACTTTCCTCATTTAGAAAATTACCCAAATTAGAAACTTTCCAAATTTAGAAACTTTCCTAAAATAGAAATATTCTCAAAATAGAAAGTTTCATCATCAGCATTCAAAATTTTCTCAAAACAATCCCTAACAAAATCAATCTCATGTTTCTGATGTCAAACATTCAGAAATGTGAATTCGAGGCCCTTCACGTCTCCGGGGATAACTACCTCGAGTGGGCCCTAGACATGCGCTTGTTCCTTGCATCGAAAGAACTCGATACGTGTATTACCGACGGTAACACCGCATCCCGTAAGGGACAGTCTCAGGCGATATGTCACATACGCCATCATCTGGCCCCGAGCCTTAAGCAGCAATATCTCACTCTTGAGAATCCACTTGAATTGTGGCAAGCGCTGAAAAAGCGATATGACCATCAGAAAATGGTCCAGTTGCCTCAGGCAGATTTCGACTGGAAGAACCTTCGGTTCCAGGACTACAAATCCGTAGATGATTACAACAACGAACTCTTTCGTATTGTTGCCATCCGGAAACTCTGTGGCGAGGATGTGACAGATAATGATCTCCTCGAGAAAACATTATCCACATTCAGCACAGAGAATGTTGTGCTCCAACAACAATACCGTGCAATGAAACACACATTGTACGAAGACTTGTTGTCCTGTCTTCTCCTCGCTGAGAAGAATAACCAGCTGCTTATGAGGAACAGCGCTATGAGGCCCCCGGGATCGGCTCCTGTCCCAGCTTCTCGTCAAGAGTCCTACCATGTTCAACCCGATAGATCCTCAGATCACCGCCGTGGACGTGGTAATGGACGCGGTAATGGCCGAGGACATGGACGTGGAAGACGTGGACGCGGACATGGTCGTGGCAACCGACCTAACCTCAGTTATGGTCCTGGTCGTGGTCGAGGCATCACCAAGCCGACCCGCCACACACCCCGATCACTCTGCTTGTACCAGATGTGGGATGTTCAACCACCCAACAAAGCAATGTCGCACCCCCAAGATCCACTGCGATCTATACTAGAAGTACGGAAAAGCTCCTGCTGAAGCCAACATGACTCAGCCAGTCGATGCTGCTAACCTGGAAGGTGACGACCTCCTTGATGATGAGAACACCACAAACGAGCAGACCGACCCCATGGACTATGAAACAGCTGATCTCCTCGATTAATTCAATCATCTGAAACTCTGATACAATTTGATTTTGTTCTTTATTTTTTTTTCATTTTGGGATTTGTTTCATTTTTTTTTCCATTTGCCTTTATTCTCAGACACTGCTTTACTTTATGATTTATCACATTTTTTGAATTCCTCAATACTGAATTCTATCTTCTATTCATAATGAAGCACACCAGCAAATGGAAACCATAGTCGTAGATAGTGGATCCAGCCACACTATCTTAAGAAACAAAAGTTACTTCATAAACCTAACCTATCAAACCGCAAATATTAGCACCATCGCGGGTCCCTCAAACCTTATCGAAGGATATGGCCATGCCTATGTGTTGCTATCAAATGGCACACAACTTGAAATACCAGATGCTCTATATTCTCCTAGTTCGAAGAGAAATCTTCTGAGCTTCAAGGATATAAGACAGAATGGTTTCCACATAGAAACCCAAGGTCAAGGGAACAAAGAATCCCTCCTAGTCACTAAAACCGTAGACGGCCATAAACAAATCCTCGAAACCATACCCGCGCTCTCTACTGGACTTTACCATGCTAAAGTCAGTATGATTGAAGCTAATACCACTCTCAAAGGCCGGTTTACTGATTATTCTATTTGGCACGACCGGCTCGGTCATCCCGGTGCAAATATGATGCGTAAACTAATTCAAAACTCTCAAGGGCATACCCTCAAAGAAAACCGAGCTTATCCTCAACACCTCATGTGCACAGCTTGTTCTCAAGGCAAATTGATCACTCGGCCTTCACCAGTTAAAATCTCTAAACAAACACTTCATTTCCTAGAAAGAATCCAGGGCGATATCTGTGGACCTATACATCCATCTTCCGGACCATTCCGGTACTTCATGGTCCTTATAGACGCATCGACCCGTTGGTCATATGTTTGTCTCTTGTCCTCTCGGAACCAAGCCTTCGCTAGGTTCTTGGCCCAAATCATAAAATTGCGGGCCCATTTCCCTGACTTCCCACTAAAGACTATCCGCCTTGACAATGCTGGTGAATTTACCTCACAAGCGTTTAATGACTACTGTATGGCCATGGGGGTAACCGTGGAAAATCTTGTAGCACATGTCCATACTCAAAATGGATTGGCTGAATCATTCATTAAACGCATTCAATGGATAGCCCGACCATTACTCATGAGATCAAAGCTCCCGGCCTCAGCATGAGGACATGCAGTATTACATGCTGCTGAACTCATACGCATCCGGCCATCTAGTGAACACAAATATTCCCCATCCCAACTACTCTCGGGTCATGAGCCAGACATCTCCCATCTCAAAACATTTGGGTGTTCAGTATATGTACCCATTGCTCTACCACATCGAACCAAAATGGGACCTCAAAGAAGGATGAGAATATATGTTGGTTTTGACTCTCCCACCATCATAAGATATCTCGAGCCAACCACTGGAGATCTCTTCAAGGCCAGATATGCGGATTGCCAATTCGATGAATCGGTATATCCCTCTTTAGGTGGTGAGACAAACAAGCTGGTCAAAGATCTTTCATGGAATCAAACATCATTAAATTGGCAAGATCCTCGGACTCTAGAATGTGATTCAGAGATCCAAAAGATTATTCATTATCAAAAGCTAGCTAATCAATTGCCAGATTCCTTTGCTGATCCGACCAAAGTAACCAAATCGTACATCCCAGCTTGTAATGCACCAGTACGAATAGCTGTCCCAACGGGACAGACCCAAGTTGCTACAGAGTCTGCACCACGTCTCAAACGGGGCAGACCTCTCGGTTCCAAAGATAAGAATCCCCGGAAATCAAAGAAAGGTGCAATAACCGAAACCGGGATTCCTGCAATATCAGACATAGCCCCGGCTGAGACTCAATCTAATGAACCCTCAATGGAAGTTCGGGACGCCGAATCTCCAGGTTCAGAAGATAACAATGAGATCTCCATCAATTACAATATGTCCGGAATACAATGGAATCGAAAAGAAGTCGACTTAAATGCACTCTTTGCATACAAAGTAGCACTTGATGTTGCGCTCACGCAAGAGGATCTAGAACCCACGTCAATAACACAGTGTACACATCGAACAGATTGGCTAAAATGGAAAGATGCCATAAACGTGGAGTTAAAGAGTCTCAAACTCAGAAACGTGTTCGGTCCGATCATCGGGACCCCATCACACATCAAGCCAGTGGGCCACAAATGGGTCTTTGTGCGCAAAAGGAACGAACTCGGTGAAGTCGTTCGATACAAAGCACGGCTTGTAGCACAAGGATTCTCACAGAGACCCGGAATCGATTATGAGGAGACTTATTCTCCAGTGGTGGATGCAACAACATTCCGATTCCTCATAAGTCTGGCCATAAGAGAAAATCTCGTTCTGCGGTTAATGGATGTTGTAACCGCATATCTCTATGGGCCCCTGGACAACGAAATATATATGAGACTCCCAGATGGCATTGAACTAAAAGACAAAAATGCATCTCGAGATCAATACTGCATCAGGCTGAACAAATCCTTGTATGGACTGAAACAAAGTGGGCGTATGTGGTACAACCGCCTCAGCGATTACCTCATCAAAGAAGGCTACAAAAATGACCCCATCAGTCCATGCATCTTCATCAAGAAGTACTCAAACAAAGGATTTGTAATCATAGCAGTATACGTGGATGATCTAAACATCCTCGGAACATCTGGTGAGATCTCCCAAACAGTCGACTGCTTAAAAGCAGAATTCGAAATGAAAGACCTAGGCAAAACAAAGTACTGTTTGGGATTACAACTTGAGTACATCAAAGGAGGAATCCTTGTGCATCAATCGGCTTATATCGAAAAGGTACTCAAGCGATTTAATATGGACCAAGCTCACCCATTGACCAGCCCAATGGTAGTTAGAAGCTTAAGTGATGACCCTCTTGGTCCCAAAAAGGATGATGAAGAAATCCTTGGTCCTGAAAAGCCATACCTCAGTGCTGTAGGAGCGTTAATGTACCTGGCTAGTCACACTAGACCAGACATATGTTTCGCCGTGAACCTCCTCGCTCGATATAGTTCATCTCCAACTCAGAGGCACTGGAATGGTATAAAACATCTCCTAAGATACCTTCGAGGTACTCAAGACTTAGGACTCTTCTATACTAACCAAAATAAAGATGGGTTAGTCGGCTTCGCCGATGCAGGATATCTATCAGATCCGAACACTGCCAAGTCTCAAACTGGCTACGTTTTTACGCATGGAGGAACAGCCATCTCTTGGAGATCAATGAAGCAGACACTCACTGCCACTTCATCAAACCATACTGAAATCCTAGCCATTCATGAAGCTAGTAGGGAATGCGTCTGGCTGCGCTCCATGACTCAGCACATCCGCAGAGATTGTGGTATGGACGAAGACACACAGCCCACGGTGATGTATGAAGACAACGCGGCATGCATAGCTCAGCTCAAGGAAGGATATATCAAAGGAGATCGGACGAAGCACATTCTACCGAAGTTCTTCTCAACCTCAGACTGGCAGAAGGACGACACTCTCAGCGTTCAGCAGGTCTGATCCAGTGAGAATTCAGCTGACCTCTTCACCAAATCATTGCCTACTTCAACACACCGGAAGCTCGTCAAACAGATAGGAATGTATAGACTTAGAGATCTGCAGTGATGCTACAATCAGGGGGAGTAATGCGTGTTGTACTCTTTTTCCTTCACCATGGTTTTGTCCCACTGGGTTTTTCCTGGTAAGGTTTTAATGAGGCAACATTCCCCAGCGCATTATCGAGATCCCGATTGAGTAGCTGACCCGGTTCACTCGTCCAAGGGGGAATGTTATAACACATATCATATATGGACTCTTATACCGGCCCATTAGGCCCATCAGGGCATTGTACTTAACCTAGATTCCCTATGTACTCTATATATACATTCCAGTGATTAATAAAGTTTCGAAGTTTTCACAACAAATTTTAGTATATTCAGAATTATTGGAAGACAACAAGTAGTTTTTAATACAGCAAAAACTATGATTATGTTAAATGTATTTTTCATTTTATGAAATAAACAAACGGATGCTTTTTTTTTTGTCAACATACAAACCGATTCTTATAAACTGGCATTTCCACATAACTATACAAATAAATAAAAAAAACTTATATATTTAATTTATTTTTTTGTTAAATGTTAAATTTTATACCAATTTTTAGATTTGCGACAGCGATTACAGAAAAAAACTAAGAAAATGGAAAGATCAGAAACTACATTTATGTTGAAACCCGTTAATGATTCTAACGTCAGCAATCATTGATGCAAGAATATTTTTCTTTGCAAATCATTGTGCTTTGTTTTCTTCGACATATCCGAAATCCATATTCCAAATTAGTTGATCTAAAAATAATTTCCTGGGTATGCATTTGATGATCTGTCATATTAAAACCATAGTTTTTTAGAACTAATCAAAGGCATATTTACCTTCACTCGACTAACGGCTACTAGTGTTAGTAAATAGTAGTGAGTAGTGACTGTGACTGTAAGCTTGAAGAGTTTTTTTTTTTTTGTCACAAACTTGAAGAGTTTTCTTATCCATATTTTTAAGCTCACTGCTCAGAGTCAAAATCACAGTATTGACGAAAGTAACCCTGGAAAGAGAGCATTATTACAAGGAAGAAAATACTCCTTTCCTCTTAACGGCTAGTTTTGTGAAGGATCGATCTTTTTCATCTTGTCTGAGCTTAGACAGATCCGACCAAATTAGACACTACTCTCTCTCCTTTCTCTCTTTCTCTCTCAGTGAATCTTTCTCATTTCTGATCAATCTTAGTGTTAATGGAACAATTCGAGCACATGATAGTGGAGGAGTTTAACGAAGAGGATTTCTACGAGACGATAGAAGCACCCAAGTTTGTAGACCTTACCGCACCAGATCATCGCCCAGAAGGCGATGATCGTTACTGGTTTTGTTCCAGAGTTGGTCAGAATCTCATTCACTCTCTTTGACATCAATTTTGTTTTTTCTTTTTTTTTTCTTTTTGAAATTTGAATCAATGTTCCATAGATCTGGGAAACAACACATTAATTTCTGATGATCCTGGGGTTATTATAGTAATTTGATCTGAAAATTGCTAAATTAGGGTTTCTTAGTGAAGATTTCGCTTAAATTAGCTTGTGTTTTTGATCCCTTTTGGTTTCCTGGTGAAAATGTGTATGCAGGATGTGATCAGAAGCATGAAGAATTTATGGATTCGGAAGCAATCTACCAAAAATTCGTTCTTCGGGTTAGCTGAAAAATTCAAACTTTTTTTGTTCTCTGTTCTTTCTTGATTTGATTTCGTTTAAATATATTAGTCAAACTTAAGACTTTTGATGTTGATCAACGATTACTAGGTCATGGCAGCTAGGAGTCCAAGTGTTCGTCTTCGTAAAGCTCTTTACAGAAAGGATTTCAGGTAATGAAACTCAAACAATGAGAAAAAAAAAATGTGTTTTTAACTTAGAGAGATCAATCACTGTAATGTGTGTTTAACATTACATTATTCTACATACTTTGGTTATTCACAGTGTTGATCCTAAATGCCCCAACACGGTTCCTGCAAAGCCTTCGAGATCACGCGTTTCTAGATTGGCCATGATCTCATCAATCCCTCACAAGGCTAATAATGGTAATATGAGGCCAAAAGAAGTAAAAGCAATTTCCACAAACAAGAATGCAACTCCAAAGGCAAAAGTTAGAGGAAAGGAGCCATCATCAGTGATCTCATCAGTTCCTCGGAAGGCATTGACTGAGCGCAAGAAGCAAATGCAGAGTCCAGCAGCTTTTAGGAGTGTGCAGAATCCAAGAGCTGCAATAACTAAACTGTCGCAAAACAGAGTTGTTGCAAAGGCTTTGGTGTTTCATTCTCCAAAGAAGTTGGTGAAACTGAAGAGATCTGTGGAGCTTAGTTCCTCTGTGAAGAAGTTGTGTAATGGGATGAGGAAGCTTGATATTGAGAACAAAAGAAATGGCTTGAGGGTTAATGATAAGGCAGGGAGTTCAGTCCCATCTAAAAGACCACTAAAGACACGAGAAGTGAAGAGCCGAGTGTTTGATTCTGTGCGGTCGCAGCAGAAACAGATCGATGAAAAGGCCAAAGGTTCTGGTACTTTGAAAAAGAGGGTCAAGGAAAAGGAAGAGCCTGTGATTTGCTTTGATCCTTCACAATCTCACGAAGCTAAGGCTAAGGAACTTGAGAATCAATCTTTGTGCTGCGCAAGTAGTGATAAAACTAGTGGAGATGAAGAGTTCTTGGTCGAAAACAAATCTGAAAAAACTTCAGACGCATTGAAGACTAACATGGGAGATCAACTCCAGGCCAGAGAAGATCCTGCTGTAGTAAAGGAGAGTGGACTGGATACATCGAAGCAATGTCAAGTTGCAGAGATTGAAGACAAGGAAAATGCAGTACCTTTGGAGTGTGAGGAGAAAAAGAATGCTACTATTTCAACGGATGTCGAAAGAGAAGACATATCTGTAACAAAGGAGAGTGGACAGGACAAAGCAAAGCAATATGAGACTACGGAGAATGCATTAGCATCGGAGTGTGACGACAAAGAAAATGCTACTGATGCAGCGGATGTTGATGAAGAGAGCGATGATAAGGAAAATTCTTCAGCCTTGGACAATAACAGGTGAGCAAAATGTTGTTTCATTGCTTTACATTGGATTTTATTTTCACACCACCTCACCAGATACACTTGTTTTGTCTGAATCTTGCAGGAAAGTCGACCAATCCACCTACCCTTTGTTGAAAAATAAAATCTTTGGCAAGAAAGAAACTTGCAAAACGACTCAAAAGGTAGCTAGGCTTATTCTGTATACTTTTTCTGATGAGATCCTCTATATGTGCTCATGTACTTTCTACTGAACCAGGCGATGACAATAGCCGATAAGTGTTTCAATGGCAAGACTGTGTCGGCTAATACCCGTGTCAAGTATACAAAACCTAAGCTCACGAATCCAAAGCCTTTTCGACTAAGAACCGATGTATGATGTGCAATACAACCCACCAAAAAAATTGTTCTCTAATATGCATTTCTTTTCTTTCTTGTTTCTGATGGAGGAATACTTCATGTTTTCAGGAAAGAAGAATACTCAAGGAAGCAAACACGGAGAAGAAACAACAGTGTGCTCTTTCCAAAGAAGAAGAAACTACAACGATTCTTGGGTTCCATGGTGAAAACTTGGGTCCAAAACATCAGCCAAATAGAGTAAGTTCAAAGAAGAAAGTGGCAAGCAAAAGAACTGAAACCATGGAGGAAGCCTCGCGGATTAAGGGAATCATAAACAAACCTTCTGTTTGTGATGTTGCTTCAGGGGAGAAAAGACCTGCAACTGTCCCAAAGGGACCAAACTTCCATAGCATTCATGTCCCAAAGAGCTGTACAAAGAGAGTGGCATCACAATTCTAAGATTGTTTTTCTTTTTCTTTTAGTTGCTTTAATTCACACGAGAGCTTGTAATTGTGGTTGATCTTTGAAAAAGTAACAGAATTGAGATTGTTTTGGCGTGTATAAACCACTTGCTCAATTTTTTTTTTCAGATTGATCAATACAGAAACAAGATGATGTTTCTTTGATGCTCATGACTAAAGCTTTATGATACTGGATGAGTTCCCTCGCATCTCGGTTTTTTAATCTCTTGCCATCGTTAGTATAGTGACCTCAGAGATATTCTCAATCCAAGAAGGATCTTCTTGTGTGCTTGTAGTTATTGAGGTCTGAGGAAAACTTGAGAGTTGACGTCTGTTTAAAGAACTTCGAGTCTTGCGCATCCTATCACGAGCAACTCCATCAGTGAAGATGGAAGCATCACCAAACTTTTGCAATTAGTGACAACCAAATACTCGAGATTCCTTTTTTCAGATCCTGACAAATGCAACTGAGAGTGAACATAAGAAGCAAAAAATGATTGTTGTTTGCAGTTGAAGCATGATGTAAATTTGAACACGTACAGAGGTTTACTGAGAGACATCTTAACCAAACTTTTTTCTTTTCCGAACTTACTCATCAATTGAATAACATGATCATGTCATTAAATCTAATGAATCACCCTTCATCTTCACCATCTGGCTTTGACCAAATTATTAACCAAGCTACTTAGGATCCGGATTTGAAAATTGTTTAAATAAACCAAACCAATTTCTCAAATTTAACCAAACCGAACTGAATCTAAGACTTGACAAAAAGATAGTATTAGCTCGTACGATTACACCAAACGAACCTTAATCAATCGGTTCAGTGTTTGAATTAAACCGGTTTAACTTAACCAGATTCTTTTGATCACGCTTAAACCGAAGTAAGCTAAGATCAAACCCAAACTCGACTTGATCAAAGCTCTAATGATCATATCAACTTAACTAAAGACATGATTAAACTTCTCTTGATAACATGCAAATGATTTTTGACTTTGTAATTAAACTCAAGCTCTTTTAATCCTTTAAACTTAAGACTACCCTCATAACAACCTCAAGAGTACACAGTTTGATTAGAATATCAGACTTTGATCAAGGAACAAGGGCATGACTGTTTAAATTTTCGGAATCAATAGAAAAATAGGCAGTTCTCAATTAATACCACTAAAAGTTTTCGTTCCTAGCATATTATTACTAGTTTTTGTTTTTTCCAAAACAACCACAAACATTGATTTTTCCACAAATATCACAAAACTAAAACTAAACTTTTAACCTAAAAACTTAATTATAAACCCTCAAAATTAAACCCGAATACAAGATACTAAATCTAATGTCAAATATTTAAATAATAAACTCTTACTCATTTATTTAGTGGTTGTGGTGTTTGTGAAAAGAAACCATTAATTGGTAGTTTTAGAAAACAAAACTAGTGATGGTATGTTTGGAGCAAAAACTTATATTTCAAGGTATTAGTCTAGAAAAACATAATGAAGAATGTTTTGGATATCATTCACAGAGACGATAACAAAGTATATATAACCCAACAAAGTATATCTACTTTCTTAACTAAGAAAATCATATGAGAGATATACAGTGCTGATAACCAAAATGATTGACGACTCGAACCTAATTACAACAAGCCTTTGAAAATTTTCATATCAAGATGAACATCCAGAACATGTATACTCCATGTTGAAGGAGGGTATTAGAAAATCATATATACAATCAAATACCGTATATTTTGGGATCATATAATGGATTTAATAAGCACGGAGTTCCTCTTTTCTAATATAAACCTCCTGAATTCGACACTCACTAAACTGGATCTAAAGGGATAGCCTTGCAAACAAACAAATTGTTTCAGGATTTGTGGATTTAATGAGATTCCAAGGGTTGTAGAAGACCCTTGATGAATTGGTTTTCAAATCAACTAAGGATATGACACATCAAAGATGAATCGAAAGGCCTTGAAGGATATAACACACCAACAAGAAGAGTTTGATCTTACTTAGAAAAGATTTAATTTTGATAAAAAGATAAGATAGATTCTAAAGAGAGTTTACAAGAGAATATAAAGAGAAAAACAGACAAGTCTACAAAGCATTAAAGTGTCTACGAACTAGTTCTTTGAAAGCTGGCCAAGTTTGAATTCAAACACTCTTCACACGCTCCTCTTCTTATTCACTTGGGCTCGGCTGAATAGGTTTAGATGTGGGTGATCTAAGCTATGCCTCATTAAAAAACCTATCTCAAAAAAAACCCATTGGGACAAAACTTGAGATAGGGAAAAAGAGTACATAGCTGGATCTCAAGTCCATTAGCCTTTTCGGACTTGGATCACAACTAGTGTGGTACAATAGTATAGTTGTACCAATCTCTTTTCCCTTTTGTTCCATAAGCACTCTTTTGCTTAAGTATATCTCCAACAGTTTCCTTGAGCCTCTTGGTCTTTGCTCGGGTCATAAGACCATTTGAAATGAGCAAACGGTCTTCTTGTTCCATTCCTTGCTTTTTGTCTTTGCTCCTTAGCTCCTTAACTTATTGTGGCTCTTCTTCAGGTTCAAGCTCCTTGCTGATGCTATCCAAGATCATATCATTTTCCATCGGCGTTCTTCTTATTTTCACCATCGTTGTCGTTTGATTCATGTTTACCGGAATTGTTGGAGACATCAAGGAATATGTTACTAATGCAGCGGGATAGTGCCATTGTCAATAAGGACATGATTGTTCTTAGATGTTCTTAGAGTAATATATACTAGCACCCAAGCTGTTTAAACTAAAGTAATACGGCAAAAACATACACCAATAGTATATCATCATATAGATCAAAACATGCTTATTACTCATTGTCCCAACCTTTTCATGAACATGGGGATGCGGATGAGCCATTAAAGCTAGAGCTTGAATGGCACCAGTATAAGTTGGTGCAAGCTGTCGTAATAATCTTACAACAGGTAACAGACAAGCCAGAAGATCCAATACGGCGGTATTGAGTTCCCTAAGAGTGTAGTAGGAGATATTCATTTCGTGTAAATCATTTTGCTTCAAGAAATAGGAATTACCAGTTATAGATATAATTAAATGGTACATCAAAGGGTTACTTACAAAATTGAAGTTGTCACGCATCTCCGGGATTCTATGCGTAGTAAGAACTAATGTCACTCTAATTCAGCCAATCACTAGCTCGATAAATTTATGGTTTAAGAGGAATGAGGGTTCCTATTGTTTTATATAATCATGTTTTGAATGTTATGGCCCAAAAGAACCGACCTTTTTGCCAAGGTTTCGTATTAGAATCACTTAACTGAACAAGTTGTCCATTTGGCATTTTCGATTATTTTCCCCGGTTTTGTAGTTGTTTGCAATGCTGATTTAAGTGTCAATTGGATTGGTATTACTTCTAATTAACTTATTAGTTCCTGTAAACAAAAAATCTGACACTAATCTTCCAGCATGTCAAAACTTATGCACATGTTACTTAAAAAAACAATGAATAAATTACATGTATGATTTTTATATAAAAAAAACAACTTGTGTAACTCAATGGGATGAGGTGAAAGCCCTTTTAATCCACTGATTGATTAAAAGGTTTATTAATAATATTATACCAAGAGATTTGGATTTCTCCCAAATAATGTAATTTCTGCAGATTAATGAAAGCAAATTTATAAAGAAATCTTATGCACGTAGATTTGTTCATCATGATCGTGGATCCTTGTGGAATGAATAACATTATCCATTATAGAATTGTTTTTTAGTAGTTCTCTCTAAAAAATTTCTGTGTTAAGAAAATTAATAGGTTGATGAATGAGCAACATAGAGGTCAGATGCATTTATTATATATAATGTTGTATGGATAATATTAAAATTGCTTACGTAGATGTAAAATTAATGATATATATGATTTTAGGTGACATCAGCATCTGAATGGAGGATATCTGTCTTTTCATCTAATTAATAAATTATAAATTTTAAAATAAAAAAAATTAAAAACTAATTAATACCACTACTTCTAACTTAACTATTATATTTAATGTTTATTTCATATGTATTTATGTTCATAACTATTAAGTTACATTAATATTAAGGCTTTTCAAATTCTTAATAAAAATAAATAAATAACATTTCTAACTTTTTACAGTTCTAACTTTTTGGTATTTGTCTAAAATTTTTAAATATTTTTTTATATTAATTTGATACTTTTCTTCCATCTTATCCTCATTATAAACACTTTTTTTGAAGCTTGTTGTATGAAAAAATATGAAGATGTAGCGTTATCTTCATTCAAAGATTTGGCGATTTTTATGGGTCAAATATAATATTATTATAGCTGCATTTTATTGTGAAATATAAAATATGAGGTGGTTCTTGCAGAATCAAGACAATTGTACATGTCATAAATTTGAGAACATTAAAAATCAGAAGTAATTATATATTTTCAAGCAATTCAACCAAAAAATATGACTTTTATCTACGTCTTTTTTACTCATATAATGTTTATGATTTCTAGAATAGTAGAATAATTTTCTTAATTACCATACTTCCAATCTTTAAAAAAAAGTTATTTGTTTTACAAAGAATTTATTTTTAAAAAACTTAATACTAAACAGTCAAACAAATTACCATATTCTTATAATTAACTATATATATATATATATCAACACATATATATTTTTAAAAATATTATGTGAAACAAAACCTGCGCGTATGCGCGGATACAAGTCTAATATCTTAAATACACACCATTATGGACTTCTTTGTGTGTGTAATTTAGTAGTTTACCTTGGACTTCTTTGTGTGTGTAATATCTTAAATACATACCATTAGTTTATATTACTATGTATATTAGGAAATCAATATCTCCTCTTTTTTCACTGTAAATGTTGATTCTCCTATATAACATTTTGTGATCATAGACATAGGAATCTAGAAAAAAAATTGTAAAAACATCAAAATGATTTTTTAATGTCTTTTATGAAGAAAATCCAACAGATTTGTCTTTTTTTTGGGTTAAAGATCCAATGACACAAAACTTACTCTTGAACAAAATTTGTATATTACCGTATTAAACAATGTATCATGTTGTAATGTTTTCCCATTGTTATTACCGATTACGTATAAGATTTGTCAATGGAAGATAGAAAGATTCAGACATCCCTTTTTGCAACCAATGACTTTTCTTTTTGTTATGACATGAATTAATACAAATAAATTGCGGTTTGGAAAATGGTAGGGGCAGTTGAAAAAGACAGTCATGTGAATGTCACTTTCTTTTTAGCTGTCCTCTTGGGTCGGGCTTATCCTATTCCCTACCATATTCACTACCCTCTTTCATTTTCTTACATTCTCAAATTCAACAATTTTGAATTTTCTCACTTTTCATAAAAATTTAAATTCTATTCATGTATTCTTTCTATAAAACAAAAAGATAAATAGGAGTATAATTTACATAGAAATGAAAATTAATTATTCTATAGAAAATTCCAAGATCAGGACCCTCTTGTCCCCTACAAATATGCGATTCTTATTACCAATTACACCGCTTGCAATTTTAGCTTTTTCCTATACTAACTGACATACATCGTTATCATCGACTAACAAGGAGAGATATACCGTTAATATTGTGTTACTGTTATCGGGACAATATTTATGTCATATGACTATGAAATTAAGAAAGTAATTATGGTCTGTGACAATTTGGATGGATAATATGAATATACGGTATACCATATACAAAGTCACATCTTCCACTATAGTCAACGGTAAATTTATTAAGCAAACAGTGCAAACAAATGTCTGAATCGTACATATCAAACACAAACTCATATATGATAAAATGATGACACTAATAATTCGAAGAAAGAAAAAAAATGAAAGTAAATACACGAAAACGATGCGAACCAATTCAAGAATAATCTCAAACGATGAGCAAATGTGCTGCAGCAACTCCAACAACGAACGAAAGTGCTACGACGTTGTTTCTTACATTGAAAGCTCCAGAATCCTGCGAGGCCATCCCTGGTGGCATAGGTCCCGGAGAAGGAGCAGATTCCATTGCGGATGGCGGCATCGGCGGAGAAGCCATATCGGGAACTGATAATGGGCTTGGGCTTGGGCCCATAGGAGTAGTTGGTTGGGCCATTGGGCTTGAAGATGGAGTCATTGGCATCATAGGTGGTGGAGTCATGGGCATTGGTGGTGGAGCCATGGGCATAGGTGGTGGAGTCATAGGCATAGGTGGTGGAGCCATAGGCATAGGTGGTGGAGTCATCATTGGCATCGGAGAGCTGCGGCCGCTAGACATCGGCGGCATCGACATTGAGCCAGAAGGAGCCATCATGGGAGATTGAGCTAAAGAGAAATGAATTAAAACCATAGGCAATGTGACCAAAAGGAGGGCTTGTGAAGAGGCCATGGTTATGTGTGTTGAATAGTGGGTGTTATGTAAAGTGATATATAGAGAGAGGTATGTGAGTTGTAAAAGAATGGGAGAGAAAAGTGAAGGTTCTTTGTGCTATTGGGGATATATATTAGAGATTATTTGTTTTTATTTTTGGACCGTTGGATATAGTGTGTGACACGTATCAGTCGATAGATAGGTATGAGATGCTGATTTATTTTCCTCCACATGTTGAAAAAAAAAAAGAGATAGAAGAAAATTCCAAAGTGAAATTTCTTTGTAGGTACAGATAGAATAATCAATACACATGAAAATGGGACTATTATGATTATAATGCATTTTATTTTCATTCTTTAGTGGAACCATCAATCGGATTCACGGGTTGGTTTTTAAGGGGGCCATATATCAAAATTATTAGGAATGTCATTTAATGGTGTTTGTTAGTCATTAATATGCTAAAACGATGAAATTTTGAAATGTTAGTAGACTTTTATAACCAAGTCAAGATATAATTTCATCAGAAAAAAACAATTTATATGGAAAAGGATAAAAGACCATAATGCTATGGTACAAGAGAAAAGACAAATAGGGACCATTTGTGTTGCATTTGGTCACACAGGCCTAATAAGCTCCACGGCCAATATTATGTCCGCACCCACTAACCGACATTTTTGGTTACCCCATACTCTTTTCTTTTTTCCTCTCACGAGTACTCTTTGTCCCTCATTTACTATTTATCCATCTTTTAAATTATACTTTTTAAAACAAACATGTAACATGTTCTATACATATATATATATACTTTGATTTCGTTGTTTTATTGTACATTTCTTCAGCTCGTTTGAATTTAACCGTTATGATCGTCCCTTGATCAAATGTATTCTCTCAACTCATTAGTTCAGGATCCAGGAAAATTAGATGAAATAGACAAATAGTACATGCATCACTTGAAGTAACTATAATTACTATACCGTTAAAGTAGTTGTATAGAGATTTCAATATTATAACGTTAGGGCTCTAAATATATGGGCTCATTATAAATGGGCATGTAGTCGCATGAGGCCGAATCCCAGCTGGCAGAGAAATGAGCGGGAAATTTTATGTACAAAATGCTCGAAACAATGTCACACGTAGCGCACGTGCCATTCTCCCGCCCGTTTCTCCATTTTCCCCAAATCTCAAATTCTCAATCCCTAGTTTCTCTCTCTCCCCAGATTCACAGCATTTGCATTTTGCAATGTCTGAAGACTCGGAACCGCGTCAACTCGGGAGATCGACCGCCGGCGGAGAGCTAATAGGTCTTGGTCTCACTGAGTCAGACGGCGAGGAGCATTTCTATCACCAGAAAGCTTTGGAGTTATGTCGTCACCTACTCTTCGTTGGCCACTCAGAACTAGTTACAGATCTTTCTTCACAATGTACACACTTCCAAGCTTCGCCTGAGCTCGTCAAAGTTCTTTGCTCGATTCCTAATTCCCCTGTCTCCCTTACCGGAGACGGCTTATCCGTGACTCTCTCGCGCGAGTTGCTCTCCGATCCGGCCTGTTTCGCCTGTAGTTTGGGTGTGCCGGAAAATGTTTTGTTTGAACAGATTACGCGTTTCTCGGATCCGAGAGCTCCCAAGCCTAAGCGAAATGGTCTCGGGCATATGGGAGGTACTAACTTAGCACTTGTTTCATTTTAGTCGTTATCTGGCATCTGATTTTGTTGTTTAGTAGTCACACTTACATAGAGATTCTCTTCTTGATTATGGATTATTATGAAAAATTTCAGAAAATGAGGAGCAAGAAGAGCTGCAGCTCATGCCATTGCCCAAAAGAAGCCGAAAGGAGGAACCAGATGTAAGTAATCTCTTTTAACAAAAAGATGAATTTCTCAAGGTATAATTCAATTTCAAAAATGGGGAGTTGATTCATTGATTTTTTTTTTTCTAGGTGAATGACTACTCTGTAATGGATAGCAGAGCTAACGACATGACAAATATTGCCAATGGGTCCATGCTTGAGACACTGAAAGCTTTTGAATCCCAAGCTTCGCTTTTAGTTTTAGGTAGAGATGGTCGAGAAATAGGAGCATTTGACCAAAGTCCTTGGTCTGGTCCACGGACTAGAATTTTTGGATGCGAGATTTTCTCCAATGCTTGTGTGGATGTCGATCCTATGCACTGCTTGGGGGAACGCAAGCAAGATTCGCCATCTCCTCGAGAGGTTGGATACTGTAAGCAAATTGAGATTGAAGATTTTCAAATTGTTGATAACCTAAGATTATTCGAAGACGATGAGGATAAAAACGAGAAGGATTTGTTCCATAAGGGGGAGATACGAACTCCCGATGTGCAGTCCGATCCTGCTGCCCCTTCGATGCCATCAGAAAATGAGTTAAAATCTGTATATATTGTAGAGGACACTGAAGATATGCTTGCCTTGAGTTGTAACCCATTAAAGCAAGAGGACAACGCTGTAGACATCTTCAGCACCCCTGTCAAAGAGCTGCCTTTGATGCCTTCTGCAACAATAGCTAATCAAGATAGATCCTTGGTACAGAAAACACAGGATCTGTGCAAATTATCGGGAAACAGCAAAGGTTACAGCTGTTCCCCTGAGAAAAAACACACCAGGAAATGTAAAGCTATCCAGAGGTCAAAGCAGAATCTTAACTCCGTTCGACCTAAAGATCAGAAGGTAGACATTTCTTTTTTATCTAGAGTGAGCCCCTTGCAATTCCGTTTTTTTATTTATTTAAACAGCTTTCCATGTTGCTGAAAGTACTTTTATACCAACATTGAGGATTAATCCACTATATTAAGATTTCTCATATCTGTTGTTTAGGATGAGTCAAAACAGAACACTTTTCCAGTTTTTGATTCTTACACTATTGTAGAGGAAGAAGGCTCAGGTACATTTTCCTTACAATTTCATCTATATTCCTGATTTTGTTGAAACAGCTTAATTGGTTATCGGCTAATGATTGGTGAAATCCAACTGTAGGTGGCTACGGGATTGTTTATAAGGCAAAGAGGAAAACCGATGGAAAAGAGTTTGCCATTAAATGTATGAAACAGAATGATATGTTGCTAGATTTTTTCACTTCGTCACATCGTTTTTGGTTGGCAATTTGGTCTCATGTGTTTTCCATACAGGTCCCCATGCTGGTGCTCAGAAATACTATGTTAATAATGAACTCCGAATGCTGGAGCGTTTTGGGTAAGTAACAAAGTTTGATCCGCTAATGAACCTCCTACATATTTAAACCCAAATATCTGAAATTGCCTAAATGTTGGTTCACTTAGGGGGAAAAACTTTATAATAAAGTTTGAAGGCTGTCTTAAGAACGGAGATTCCGATTGCATGATCCTTGAGCACCTTGAACATGACAGACCTGATTGTTTGAGGAGAGAAATAGACGTGTATCAGCTACAGTTGTACGGATACTGCATGTTCAAAGCTCTGTCAAGTCTTCATAAGCAGGTAAAGCAGATGTTGGACTAAAACTTTTGAGCATTCATATTTCAATCACGCAACTAACCAGTTATATTGTTTTCTTTTGCAAATGTGAAGGGTGTTGTTCATAGGGATGTTAAGCCAGGCAACTTTCTTTTCTCTAGGAAGAGTAGCAAAGGCTGTCTCATTGACTTTAACCTCGCCATGGTTAGCATTTTTCTGGCACCCTTCTCTTATTAATACTTTTCTAGCAACATTTATTGGTTAGTGTTTTGTATAATAGAATTTGAGGTTACGAAACCTGTTTAGTGCTCTTATATAATATTTAGGTCAGTGTCTACTAGAGGCACTGAAAAGCTTGAGCTGAGCTATCACAAACGTTTGTGTTCATAGTTTGTGTTATGTTCCCACCCACTGATATTAATTTCACTTTCCTCTGTGGCTTAATTTAGGATTTGCACCAGAAGCACAGGAGAGCCGGTAAACTTCTCCCCTCATGCATTTGGGTTGAATTAAGTAAAACAAATGGAAACTAAAGCTATCCCTTATATGTATATCAGATAAATCAAAAGCAGCTACAGATCTCCCAACCGCCAGCAAGAAGCATCATACTTTGATTAAATCTCCTGACACGACCAACCGAGTGACCAACAAATCTTCTCAGAAAACTTTAGCGCCAAATAGTCTGAAGAAAGCAGCGGGAAAGATAAGAGCTCAGACTGACATGAGTAGATGGGAGAGGTTCAATAGCCAAGGCGCGGAAGGGTCTGGCTTAACTTCGGCCAAAGATGTGACCAGCACAAGGAACCACCCTTCAGGTGAAAAGAGGAGAGAGCCTTTGCCATGTCATGGAAGGAAAGAGCTTCTAAACTTTCTGCAAGAGACAATGTCTGGTTCAATTCCAAACCACGAAGTATCATCCAAAGCTCCTACATCTATGAGAAAACGTGTTGCTGCTCATCCAGGGAAAGCTGAGAAACAGCTTCTTCATCTGACCCCAATGCCGCTGCGCTCTAATGGTCGGCGTGAAGCAGGTGGATTCCTGGTGTATAATTTGACTCTTGTTTTTTGTTTCAGAGTTTAACTTTAACCCTAAGAAAAAAATCTGACTTACTAGGGGATGTAAGTAAGAAGAAAGATGGTCCTTGCTCAGGAACGAAAGGCTACCGAGCACCAGAGGTACGTCAACTGTAACTATCGCTCACTTTGCTTATATGGTAGAGAGAGAGAATGTTAGTGGGTTTAGGCTTCCGAGTTACTAGTAAATCCATTTATATATCATACAAATCTTATGCTTTGAGCTACTTATTAGAACATTTTATGATGGGAAAGCTAATTCTCTGGGGCGGTTCTTGGCTGAATTGGCTTGTGCAGGTTTGCTTAAGATCTTTGCACCAAGGACCTAAGATCGACGTGTGGTCTGCAGGAGTTACTCTATTATATCTAATGATGGGAAAAACACCTTTTACTGGTGACCCTGAACAGTTAAGATTTGTAATTGACTTACTTTGCCATCACTTCATTGCATTCTGTTTTCTTTCTTTCCTTCTTACAACGGCCTCTTGATTCTCAGGAACATAAAGGACATTGCGCAGCTACGAGGCAGTGAAGAATTATGGGAAGTAGCCAAGCTGCATAACCGTGAATCTTCTTTCCCTGAGGTAATAATCGCACCTTATCACCCTTGTAGACTCTTCTTTGCATCGATTGCTGCATTTGTGTGGCATAATATGGCTATGTACACATGGTCGGTTCTTAAATCTAGAGAAAGAGAAGGTTGATCTGGCTAATATCGCATGCTCTGTTCTCCTTTACCGCCAGCATTTGGATTTAAATATCAAATACTGTAAGAGGGTTTTCAGTTATAGCGCTTTGGGTCCTATTGCGGAAAACGGGGTATATATTATTATATACATTACATGATCTGATACGTTGTATGGATAGATGATAAAAAAGAGATGAATTCACGTAGCAATTTTGTTTTTGCTCCAGGAATTATACGAGTCAAGGTACTTGAAGAGGATGGAGCTGAGAAAATGGTGCGAAATCAACACAAAACGCAGAGACTTCCTAGACGTGATTCCACGGTCGCTGCTTGACCTTGTTGATAAGTGTTTGACTGTTAACCCAAGGCTACGAATCGGCGCAGAGGATGCTCTCAAGCACGACTTCTTTTATACAATCCATGAAAATGAAACCCTTAGAAAACAAAGGCTCCTAAAGCAGCAGCAAACGGGAACGCAGCCTCCAGTGGTGGCTAATTCAGTAGGCCAACCGCTAAGCTAGAAATCACAAATGTAAATTAAGTAATAACAAAATATTATATGAAAGCTTCACTCCACAGGCCACACCACAAATCCCATAGTAGTATATGTCTATATGACTAGGGAACATATCATATTTGTTATTAGAAGCAAGTCTAACTTCACTTGGGCCTTAAATAAATTTCGTGTTGGGAATTGATATCATTCAGTAAAAGTCCAAAAGTCTCTCGTCTGCGAAATGGAAGAGAGTAATGTCAAGTTTGTTTCTCACAGACTCACCCTATGAATTGCCGTGCAGCGTACGGATCTTCTTATTTTCTCTCAATCTCTTCCTGTGACAGGATTCTTCATCACTAATCTGCAACGAATACTGGTTCACTTCCATGGCGTCTTCTTCTTCTCGTTCCTGGAGATACGATGTTTTCCCGAGTTTCAGCGGTGAAGTTGTCCGCAAATCATTCCTCAGCCATCTTCTGAAGGAGCTTGACCGCAAATCAATCAATGCATTTATAGATGATGGGATCGAGAGAAGCCGCCCGATCGGCCCTGAGCTTTTATCGGCGATTAGAGAATCGAGGATCTCAATCGTCGTCTTCTCAAAGAGTTATGCTTCTTCCACGTGGTACCTGAATGAATTGGTGGATGGAGATCCACAAGTGCTATATGGAGTTTGACCAAATGGTGATTCCACAGCGTTGACCCTTCGGAAGTTCGAAAACATACCGGAGAATTTGGAAAGGTGTTTAAAGAGACATGCGACGGCAAAACGGAGGATCAGAAGCAAAGGTGGATGCAAGCTCTCGTAGATGTAGCAAATATGGCCGGAGAGGATCTTCGGAACTGGTATAAACTATAAACCTTGTGTTATCATTCCATAGTTCGTGTCGTGCATTGACTTCGATTGTGCTTTTAGGGCAGCTCTTTAATGTCACAATTTGTTATTAGGTGTAACGAAGCCAGCATGATTGAAAAGATAGCCGATGATGTTTCGAATAAACTTATCACAACATCGGATTGTTATGGCGATTTGGTGGGGATTGAAGCTCATTTAGAAGCAATGAGCTCAATATTGTGCTTGGAATCCGAGGAAGCTAGAATGGTAGGGATTTTGGGGCCTTCTGGGATTGGTAAGAGTACCATAGGAAGAGCTCTTTTCAGTCAACTCGCTAGCCAATTCCAACTTTTGTAACTTATAAAAGAACCAACCAGGATGACTACGGCATGAAGTTGTGTTGGGAAGAAAATTTTTTATCAGAGATTCTTGGTCAAAAGGACTTGCAGATATACCAATTAGGTGCGGTGGAGCAACGGTTAAAACTCAAGAAAGTTCTCATTGTTCTTGACGATGTTGATGATATAGAGCTCCTAAAAACCTTGGTTGGGCAAACGGAATGGTTTGGATCCGGGAGCAGAATTATTGTGATCACTCAAGATAGGCAACTTCTTAAGGCTCATGAGATTGACCTTATATATGAGGTGAAGTTCCCATCTCAAGATTCTGCTCTCAAGATGTTATGCCAATCTGCATTTCGGCAAAACTCTCCACCTAATGGTTTAATGGAATTGACAGTTGAAGCTGCCAAGCTTGCCGGTAACCTTCCTTTGTGTCTCAGTGTCTTGGGTTCGTCTTTAAGAAGAAAGGACAAAAAAGAGTGGGAGGAGATGCTGCCTAGACTCCAAAATGGTTTGGACGGGAAGATTGAGAAAATATTAAGAGTCGGCTACGATAGATTAGATGGCAAAGACCAAGAGTTATTTCTCTTCATTGCATTTGCAGGTTTATTCAATGGTTTGCAAGTCAGTTACATCAGATTAAATGATGTCATTGATGTGACAATCAGTGTCAGTGACATCAAATGCTTGCTCGGAGATGGTGTTACCACTGGGCTTACAGTGTTGACTGATAAGTCCCTCATACGTATAACACCGCACGAAACTATAGAGATGCACAATTCGCTACAGAAGTTGGCTAGAGAAATTGGTCGTGCAGAGTCTATAAACAATCCTGGAAAACGACGATATCTGGTGGATGTTGAGGACATTTGCGATGTTTTTACGGATAAAACCGTAAGTTTTCTCGCATATGCTTTTAATGCTCGGCTTTATAAAATTTAAGCGTTATTTGGTGATTGATAGATAAACTTTTACGATTGTTCCCACCTGCTTTATTTGAGCGCGGGGCTCAGATGTCATAAGGAGAAAAAAAAAATCTCGCCTGCCATAAATCATTGTGTATTGACGTTTTTAGCCTTAATGAACTGATTATAAAATTAAATAAAATCGTTTATTTTTAAAAATAAAAATAAAAGCTGCAAATAAGCTTCTTCTTCCCCGAGTTAGGTTTCCGTACACATCCGCCGCCGCCGCAGAGAGCTTGATTCGAACCACCGTCGTTTGCTGGTGCCGGCTCATTTTTTTTGTTTAACTACTCTTTCTTATCCTGCCATTTGTGTGAGAAGACTTCGAAAAGGTATGGTGGTGTGTATTTTGGAGATTTATAAATTAGAGTTTTTTTTTGTTTGTTTGGTGGTCGTTTAACTATGTACATTGCCTAAGTTTGTTGTTTATTGGTTAAGTTCTCTTCGAATCGATGTTAATTTGTCGATTTTTAGTGTTGAATCTGTTTGGTAGATGTGAAACGAGGATGTGAAACCAAAGATTTTAGCCAAGAAAGTTTGGGAATTTAGATAACTGGTACAAAAGGTATAAGTAAAAGATACGGGACAAGTAGTACAAATGGTAGAACTGATAATTATGGGACAACTAGTACAAGTCTCTGTTAAGACTGATAATGTGGGACAACTAGTACAAATGTTATAGTGAGAAATTCGGGACAACTAGTATAAAAGGTATAACTGTGAAACGTAATTGGTAATATTATTTTTTATTTGCTGCGTATACCAGGATATAATGAGCATTGGCCACACCAACATAAATTTTGAGTATGGAGGATATTATTCACGGAACAAACGACCAACAGGTGTAACCCAGGAGTTTAGTTCAGGAACAAACGACCAACAGGTGTAACCCACGAAGAACTGGACAACTGTGTTTTTTTCATCTAATCATGTTTTAGGACATCTAGACAGCTATGTACGTATGTTGTCATTTTCATTTTTTTCATATGTTTAGATATCGGGAAAACTGGACAACTATTACAACTATGTTGTATTTGTGAAGTACAATTGACGTTTCATATGTTTGAAATTGGGACAACTGGACAACTAGTACAATTATGTTGTATTTGTGAGGTACAATTGACGAATCATATGTTTGAAATTGGGACAACTGGACAACTAGTACAACTATGTTGTATTTGTGAGGTACAATTGACGAATCATATGTTTGAAATTGGGACAACTGGACAACTAGTACAACTATGTTGTAATCATATGTTTGAAATTGGGACAACTAGACAACTAGTACAACTATGTTGTATTTGTGATGTACAATTGACGAATCATATGTTTGAAATTGGGATAACTGGACAACTAGTACAACTATGTTGTATTTGTGATGTACAATTGACGAATCATATGTTTGAAATTGGGACAACTAGTACAACTATGTTGTATTTTTGATGTACAAGTGACGAATCATTTGTTGGAAATTGGGACAACTGGACAACTAGTACAACTATGTTGGATTTGTGATGTACAATTGACGTTTCATATGTATGAAATTGGGGTTTAGTACAAACCCTAGACAACTATGAAAGACATCTAAAATGAGGTTTTAAAGAAGCTTCAGAAAATGGGATAACAAATTATAAGTTTAGAGTCATAATATTGGTTTGACACTAAACACTCCTTATAAAACAAGAGAGTCTTCACTAATACTCATCACATGATGATGGATAAATGCAAATGTTTGGATTTAATCAAAACGGATTAATCAGGACTTTTTAATTGTGGTATGAAACTTCAAACAAATATGAACAACTACAATATGTGGTATATGGTCATGGGTCAACTGGAAATATTTGAAAAAGCTTAAAGTACAACTCTTACAAATATTGGACAACAATACAAGTACGTACAACTATATGATAACCCTTATCATATTATATTTGCACGTGAAGCACATGTGTTTACTATGGCGGCAAAATAATTAAATAGTTTTTAAAATCTCTTTTCTTTAAATTGTTCTTCCTCATATTCTACTGAGAACTTCCTCCTTTTTTAGGGTTTCAGCCGCAGAGCAATTTCACAAGATTAAGATAATGTCGAAGAAGAAATCTTCCTAAAAAAGACTGCCTTTCCGCCGAAGGATTACGGCATGACCACCAGGTGGGGGCCCGAAGTTAATGGAGTCCGCACCATTCTTCCATGTCCCATACAGATGGGAATTCCCAAGGTTTGCCACCACGGAATTGCTCCAATTGGCTGTTTAACCAACCATTCAGCGTTAGATAGGGGACGTAGGTACTTTGGTTGTTTTTATGGTTGCCATAGTTGAAGAGATTAAAATGGTAAAAGAAACTCAAGAGGAGATGAAGTCTTTGTTTGATGTCATTATCTCGAGAATTGAAGCTCTTGAGGCTGCTGTGACCAAGAAGAGTTGCTCGAAGGAAGTTTGAAGCTCAAGATCGTTTGTTGAACCTTGTCCTACATCGTTGTCTTTGTTTCTTGAACCTTGTTGTCCTTTATTGTCCTACATCGTTTAACTATGTTGTCCTTTATTGAACTACATTGTTATCCTTTACTGAACTACTTTGTTGAACCTTGTTGTCCTTTATTGTACTAATTTGTTGAACCTTGTTGTCTTTTATTGTCCTACATCGTTTAACTTTGTTGTCCTGTATTGAACTATTTTGTTGAACCTTGTTGTCCTTTATTGTCCTACACCGTTTAACCTTGTTGTTCTTTATTGTCCTAAATCCCAAAGAATTGACCATTATTGTCCTAATATGTCCCAAATCCAAACAAATGTCCAAATTCGAATATCAAACATAAAATCCACAACATAAACTAAACATCCGCAAACAACATAACCTGTAACTTAAAAGAAAAACATAACATCCAGAAAACAAGATAAACTGCAACATCCGACACTTCTACTTCGATAACATCCAGTCTTCTGCTCTTGTTCTTCACCCTCCTGCTCTTGTTCTTCAGCCTCATCCTCTTTTTCATCAGCCTCCTGCTCTTGTTCTTCGGCCTCCTGCTCTTCTTCTTCAGCCTCATCATTTCCCTCCTCTTGTTCATCAGCCTCTTCATTTCTCGAATCTTGTTCATCACCCTCCTCCTTTCCCTCCTCTTCTTCATCACCCTCCTCCTTTCCCTCCTCTTCTTCTTCACCCTCCTTTCCCTCCTCTTCTTCTTTGCCCTCCTCCTTTCCATCGTCTGCTTCATCACCCTCAGCCTCGTCTTCTTCTTCCATGGGGTTTATCGTTTCGGTTTCATCTTCTGTGGGGATTTTTTGGGCTGCGGTCTCCTCGATAGGATTCGGAGAGGTTTCTTTCTCCATTTCTGTTTCTGAACTACAAACATCTTCGCTTGTCTTTGTCGCGGCTTCGGTGGGAATAGGGTTTACAACGGCTTGAGGAATATTTCCTTTCTCTTTATCGGCGGCTTCAGGATTTACTTCAGATTCTCTCGCTGCGGCTTGAGAATGCGATTCCGTTTTAGGCAACGTTTTCCGACTTTCAGTTGACTCATACTCGACGCCTTTTTGTTTCACACGAGTCATGGAGAAGTCGTAACGAACCGAAGATGGAGAAATCGATTAAAACGGAAGTTGTAGATGGTGGAGTGGAAATAAAACGAACGCAATCGGTTAGCTTCTATCAACACTCGCCGGATTTTACGCCGGAAAACTCTCTCAAATCTTTTTTCGAATTTCAATTAACTGTGTGGAGGTTTTTTTCCAAGAACTGATAAAATGGTAAAGTAAATTAGGGTAAATAAAAAGAAATGCGAGTCGAATCCGATTTTAATTGGGTAGGTTTTCAAATGCCCAGATATTGTTGTAATTAACGAGACATTCATGTATAAGGTAATAAACAACCATCTTTTTGCTATTTAAAAAAAATTAAAAAGGAATTGATTATACGAACGATGGCATTGGGGCTCTTTCTTCAGCGATTTATGGCATTTTAGCATTTGATTCGCTTTATTTTAACACTGTTACAATTGTTTTTTTTTTCCTGTTAACTAACAGTTACAATTGTTAAGATAATAGTTTTCGTGTGATTTTTTTTTTCAGGGCACAGAAGCTGTAGTAGGAATATATTTCGACACATTAGAAATCAAAGAGCCATTTTCAATAGATGAAAAATCGTTCGAAGGCATGCGTAATCTCCAATTTCTAATAGTTCGAGGGTCTCCACGGGGTAGATTGCGTCTACCTCAAGACCTCGTTTATTTACCCCGTAAACTCATATTGCTAAAGTGGGATGGTTATCCATCCAAGTGTTTGCCTTGAACTCAGAATGGAGAATAGTTTGCTTGAGAAGCTGTGGGAAGGAATTCAGGTACTATAGTTTTAAATTTATTTCTAAGTTTCATACGGTGTTACTATTAGAACAAATAACGGTCTTATTTTTCTATATATATTGTTGTTAAAAGTTTATAGAATATGTGTTCAAAATGATTTTGAACCTGTGCATTTATTTTTATTTTCCTGTTTGTTTTCAGCCACTTGGAAGCCTCAAGCAATTGATTATGAATTGGTCCACATATTTGAGAGAACTTCCAGATCTCTCTAAGGCCATAAACCTCGAGAAAGTGTATCTTGATGGATGCAAATCTTTGGTGACATTTCCTTCCTCGATTCAGAATCTCCTGAAACTGAGAGATTTACATTTGGAAAATTGCACAGAGCTAGAAAGTTTTCCAACTCTTGTCAACTTGAAATCTCTCGAGTACCTCAATCTCCGAGGATGCTCCCGGTTGAGAAATTTCCCTCAGATTTATATGGACAGTTCACATGGAATTAGCATCGAAGTAAAAGACTGTTTCTGGAACAACAATCTCCCTGGACCCGATTATCTCGGTGGCCTTATGAGATGTATGCCTTGTAAATATCGACCAGAACATCTCGTTCGTCTTACAGTGAAAGGCAACATGCTTGAGAAGCTATGGGAAGGCGTCCAGGTACATTGTTAATGTTTGAATGTCATATGATTGAAACATAACAAAATGTTTGGTTGTTCTGTTTCAGTCGCTTGGAAGTCTCGTGAGGATGAATCTGTCAGGATCTGTAAACCTGAATGAATTTCCAGATCTTTCAAAGGCCACCAATCTGGAGCGTTTAGAACTCAACTATTGCCATAATTTGGTGACTGTTCCTTGTACAATTGAGAATCTCAAGAAATTGGTAAAGTTGGAAATGAAAGGATGCATAAGGCTGGAGGCTCTTCCAACCGATGTCAACTTGTCATCTCTCGAAACCCTCGATCTCAGTTGGTGCTCAAGTTTGACAAGTTTTCCTCAAATTTCATGGAGTGTGAAAAAACTCTATCTAAATGACACTGCCATTGAACAAGTTCCCTGCTGTATAGAGAAATTCTGGAGGCTCCTTGAACTAACGATGTGTCGTTGCAAGAGGTTGAAAAACATCTCCCCAAACATTTTCAGTCTGAGCCGTCTTGTGAAGGCAGACTTTTCAGACTGTGAAGGAGTAGAGACGGCATTGAGTGATGCAACTCCAGTGGCAACAATGTCAACGGAGGATCAAATTCCTTCTATACCATTACACACAAATGCCTATAGAAGGGAATATTTTGAGTTCAATAATTGCTTCAAATTGGATAGAAATGCGCGGGCACTCATCCTACGATCATACGTGGCGCCTACAGTCTTACCAGGTGAAGAAGTGCCTGCGTATTTCACGGAACAAGCTTCTGGAACTACCGTAGCTGTCAAGTTACCTCAGAGCTTTCTTTCTCAAGAACACCTCGCAATTAAGGCTTGCGTCGTGGTCGGCAAGGGTTCGCATTCATACTTAGGGTTACGCTGGCACTTCAGAGGCGAAGAGCATTGGGACACAATATTTGAAAATCTGCCGGGGTCTTTTAAGAGGGATCATCTGGTTTTGCTTTCCTTCAAGTTCCGGCCTTCACTTCGTTTGGGTTTGAGTGACTTGAGTCCAACTAATTTTCACTTCGACGATGTTGAGTTTGAGTCTTCCACCATCAACCCATCCTCTGGCACCTTCTCACCGTCGGTCCAGAGGATAACAGGATGTGGTATAAGATTCTTGAATCGGTCTACTACACGTCGTCGTCTATCTAAATTGGACTACTACTACAACGATGTTGTCTCTGAGTTCTTCTTCAACCGAACATTAAGAGAGGATGCTGAGTACTTCTCTGGAAGATGAATCTGATGATGGAAGCTCTGGAACAGAGTACAACCAAAAATCTATACAAAGTTGTTATCAAGAAAACAATCTGTACAAAATGTGATGTTGTAGGGATTGTGAGAAGAAAGAACGGATGCGGGTAAAGCTTTTTGAACTCAAAATTATAAGGGTATCTCTTGATCTTTTTTTTCAGGATCAATATCATAGGTCCATAGGGATGAACTATTTAATAGACTAGATCGTTTGGTTTTATTATGTAGATTACATTAAAAGAATACATGTGGGATGTGGCGATAAAGTAGCGGACACAGGTATTGACGCCTCCAAATATAGAATTTCTTCTACAAGTAAGATACCGTTAGTTTCTTCTAGCAACTTTCATGTCCATGGAGCATCCCTGTATCTATCCCTTTCTCCTTCTATTCCATGTCTGGAGGGGCAAGTTTTGTCTGTTGATCCCCGAGATAACTGAACAACTAGATATATACAGAAACACTCACCGTGGATCCTTTGTCGCACCCAGAGCTTACCAACTTTTTTTTACGGTAAGTGAAACATCTTACAGTTCTGTTTTGTTCTATAACATCTTGCGAATTGCGATCGACCGTGGCTATGCTGATCTTGCCAAGACGTTTTCGTAGTTTTTTACGCAATCCATTTTTCCCTGCAGGTGATGGTGAACTTCTCGAGAACCAGAACCTGTTTACGCACTCTATTCTTACTTCTTTGTGTTACTGTTTCCCTCTTTGAGAATTTCGCTTTTCATGAAAGAATAAACATCTTTCAAATAGCCACAATTCAGCACATTCTGGAAAATTTTCTTTAGCAGGTTTTGTTTTGTACCATAAATCTATCGGTTTTTAGTTGGAAATTCGTTGAATTTGTGAGCTTGGGTTTTACATACTTGACTCGGGTAGTTTTTCTTTCCTTCTAACAAAGCAATGAATAAATCAGGATTTGGCCAAACTAAAAATGTATAAAAAAAAATTCACTAGTTCTAAATGGCAAGACCCTCTTCATCATCAGCAACATTTGGATCGCTGTTTCCATGACGTTTCCTACACTCGCAGTAAAAAACAGTGACTACAACATAACTCAGCACCACCTCAGCACCATACATACAAATCAACTTCCACCCGTCTAAGCCACCGCTCACCACCACCGACCTCCACCACGACCCTGAGCTCGAGTCTACATCTAGCTCCTTGGCCAGCTTCTCCATCCCATGACCAATGAAACTCGAAAGAAACACAAATACACCCGCCAAAGCCAATCCAGTTATCCTCCTCCCTTTCATCAGAGAATTTCCTTCCTTAATCGCATCAAAACCGTATCTTTCTTCTATCACAGAGACGACAAGGCCAAGCCCTGTTATAGCCATTATGTATACCTCAACGCCGAGACTGAGAACCGTGATGAGGTAACGCAATGTGGGTGTATAACCCAAGAGAGCTGATAGAAACATGGGAATCGGAGAGTAGAGGAAGAGCAGACCATAGACAACAATGGAAGTTGCAGTTACTCGCATCCACGAGGACTTCACTGATGCAAACGATGACTTCAGAGACGTGTTTAGGCCGTTGTGTGAGAAGGAAGTTGATGTGATGACGGTTATGGATGCGATACAGGAGAGGATGAAGGACGGGACGAAATATCTGGATTTGAGGTGTAGAAGCGAGACAGCGTCTTCTCTAGACTCTTGCCAGATCTGTCTAGCTTCGAACCTTGTGTGCACGACGTTGGCCAGGGCTTCTAGACGGAAGACATGGTTTTTAAGACGAAAGGAGGAGAGAGTTAGGGAGAGGTGTAAGGCTGCGAGAGGGATTGCTACAAAGGCAAAGACTGGGAATAATATGTGTTTGTTTCTCAAGAGAATCATGAAGGAGTCTAGGAGTGTTGTGGTGATCCGCGTGGAAGAACCAGGTCGCTTTACTTCAATCATGATATCAAAAGGCACATAGAAGCCTGCTGCTTAAAGCTTCAACCAATGTTGGGACAACTCGAAACAGAGTAGATACACTATGCTTCTAGAGAATGTCTTGTATGAGGCCTGTGTAAACAAGAAAGCACAAAGCTTTTAGCAACTCAGAGAATCAATACAAGACTAAGTGCATTGCAAAACCACAGTTTTCTCAGCAAAAAGAATCACACTTATCAGGTGGAAATCACAGTTCCATATGAAAGAATGACACTTTTAGCGATTATTCTAATGACACTTAAACAAGGTTTGGTTCAAACAACAACTCCAGAGATCATACATAGTTGACCGAAATGTTAAGACTTTTTCTACACACCCCGGAGTTTTCGGAGTTCCAACAAGTTCGAGTTCATTGAAGAATATAAACCATAATATGAGTACGAATTGATGCTATGTCGTCAAATTAGATCAAATTCTGTGATCTTGTGGACCAAACGTGTATGAAGAAATCAAACAATCGACCGAGATCAACTAGAAATAACGAATCCAGAACTAGATTCTATTTCCCAAACAACAGTCTCTAGAAAAAGGGTGAATTTCGATTCCCGATCTAAAACTTGACGACTAAATCCCAACTTTTAACATTAGAACGGAAACAATTAGGTTTAATCCAATCTTTTTTGCTTGATTACGGTCTATCTGAGATCGAGACAAACCTGAAAGATGCGAAAACACCGATTGGTGTAAGAGGAAATCCGAAGAAGTATTGCTTGGAAGGAGAATTCATTGATTTGAGAGACAGAACAAGTCAATAAGCTTTGGGTTTTAAAGTTTAACCACTGTTTTATAACTCAGTAATTCTGTCCTTTGCGAAAAAAAAAGAAAAAAAAAACTCAGTAATTCTGTCCTGATTTGGGACAATTTTGGATGCCAATTGCTTTTATAATGTTTTCGACCAATAGAGTTACTTTACTATTGGATTACTAATTAATCATTACTTAATAATGTTTTTTTGGTTAATTGAGTTGTGATGTTGAATTAGTTATTTATCCACTAGAAATTTCACATTTTTTTAGTTTTTTTTAATCAAAGACTCTAGAGTGAGGTATCAAACAACATTTTATTGTAAAATATCAAAATAGACAACTTTTTCAGACAATCCTCTATGAGGCTATGATTATGAATGTGTGTGACTGCGTGTAATGAAAAAAAAAAACAAAATACAGTATACGAGGTATAAAAAGAAAGAATTGTCTCGACAACACAACAAAGAGTTTGCTTGCGGCACCAAATCATTGGAGTCTTCTTGGTAGTGAAAAGTTGTTTCCTTTCCCCAAAACTGATTCAACCCGCAAATGTGTTCCCTTCTCATTGGAGCCAACATTTTGCTTCTTGAACTCAGCTTCTTAACGCTGCTGACAAATTCCAAATCCATCTCCGGTTTAGTATTGTGACTATTACTTGAGCAAATCGAAACCGCAATTGAACACAAGATTCTAACATTGCAGAGACAACTCAATGCTCATATCCAGCAAGGTCTTTGGTAATTCCTAAGTTTCACAAACCAATGGATTCATAGACTGAGAGTCAATTTCTGCATCTATAGATGAAATCGAAAACCATCAAAAAAATCAACCAAGATGGTTTTTTCCAATTTCCTCGGTTTACCTGAATGAGAGAAGAGCCAGAGGATTACGCCGCAGAGAAGAAGAATGAGAGGAATGAAATGGATGACGTTTTCTGCAGATCTGAATCGGGACTTCTCTCTCTTCCCCGGTTGAGAATTCGGGTCGTACCTTGGCAAAAGCAGCTCCACATCATCTTCCATAGCTGTAACGCTCTGAGATCGAGGCGGAGACAGTGACGGCGTTGAAAGATTCGCCGGAAACTGATCCGAAACTCTTGAGCCACTTGCTGATCTACGCATCTCTCTCTCCCTAACGTAACTTCTCAAGTCAAAGGTCGAAACTTTTTTCACACAATAACGCATATAAATACTGTCGTCACGTCAGATTTGACCAATAGAGAAGAGTCAAAGCTCTTCTCTTTTTCACCAGTAATCGCCACAAGAACAAGACCCATCTTTGAAATGGTGAAACCTTGTGGTGTCTCTCACCATGATCTCTCGTCTCTCTATCTCCGAGATAAATTTGATTGCTTTATGGCAATCACCACAGATTCTCAGGTTCTTGAAAACTTGTATCCGTGAACCTTCAGGGAGTTTTAAGCACCCAAAAGCAACAGCTAACTTCTCGCTATGCCATAACAATAGTTTCTTTTTCTGCTCTTCCTCTACATCGTGTAAATCAAACTCCAGCTCTGGTATGTATCCAGCCAGCTCCATCTTTTTCTCCAACTCCTTCAGTTTCTTGTGTATTGACTCTAATTCCGGGTGGATCCGATCACTTGATCTGAAATGGTGAACCTTGTTTCGAATCTCGATCCAACTGTATCCTGGTACCTGAAACAATCGATTGAACACATAAAAAGTCTTGTAAAGCGAATAAATAATCACACCTTTTGCAATCACCATACCTTCACAACATTGCTCTGCTTCATTCTCTTACGAACCCTTGCAACGTCCTCCCAACGACTCATCGATGCGTAGATATTCGCGAGCTGCACATACCCAGCTGCATTACTCGGGTCAAGCTCAAGCAGCTTCTCGGCTGCGAATTCAGCCAATTCCACATTCTTATGCACCCTACAAGCCCCTAAGAGCGTCCCAAAGACTGCAGCGTGTGGTCTAAACGGCATCGATCGTATCAGTTTCAACGCCTCGTCCAGCTTCCCAGCCCGACTCAGAAGATCAACCATACACGTGTAGTGATCAGGCCGCGGTTCTACCCTGTAATCTCTCACCATCGACTCGAAATGCTGCATCCCAGTATCCACTAATCCAGAATGGTTGCAAGCTAGCAAAACCGCTACAAACGTTATCCAATCCGGTCTGATATTGTCATCTCTCATCTCACTGAACAAACGCAGAGCCTTTTCTGCTCTACCATGCTGTGCATACCCGCATATCATCGCGTTCCACGCGACGACATCTTTCTTCCTCATACCCTGAAAGAGCTTCCAGGCATCACCAAGTTCACCACATTTGCAGTACATACTGATCAGCGACGTCAATGCGGTTATCTCACTACACAATATAGATTTACACACTATCTGATGGATCTGCCTCCCTAACCGTAACGCAGATAACTCGCTGCATCCAAGCAATACGCTGCTTAGACCTGACGGGTTAGGCCTAATTCCATCAAAAAGCATTACTTTGAAAAGCTTCAATCCATCTCCTGGCCGAGAATTTTCGACATAACCAGAGATCATAGCATTCCATGTAACGAGATTTTTCTTCACAGTCATGTCTTTGAACACTGCCTCAGCTAATTCAACCTTCTTGGCTTTCATGTACCCTGTGATCATCGCCGTCCAGGCCACCACTCCTCTAACAGGAGCCGCTTTGAAGAAACGTGATGCCATTTCCAAATCTCCGCATTCTACGTAACCAGAGATCATCGCGTTCCAAGAAACCTCGTTCTTCTCCGTCATGGCGTAGAACAATTCCCGCGCTTTTTCCATTTCCCTTCTCCGTGCATACCCTGTGATCATCGTGTTCCACGACGCCGCGTCCTTGAATGGAGCCCGATCGAAAAAGCTCTGAGCTTTCTCGAAGTCTCCGTTACGAACGTAGCAAGACAACATGATGTTGTAGGAGAAAGTATCTGGTTCAGGGATTTCGTCGAACAGTTGGTGTGCTTCCTTCAATCTGCTTGGATCTTTTGAAATCCCAACGAGCAGGGTGTTCCAGGTGACTGTGTTCTTAGCTCTCATCCCGTGAAACACTCGGAGAGCTTCGTCTATATCTCCGGAACGTACAAATCTGGCTATAATCTTGTTCAACGGGAAGATTCGGTCTTGGTCACAAGGTTTAGTCGTCGTTTGAAGCGTCAAGTTATCGGAGCGAACCAGAGATGGCTCTGGCGATGAACAAGAGGAAGACAAACATGATCCCACCAAAATGGCATCTGGGTTTTCTACGGAGCGCAAAAAGAATCGAAATTTCCAGCGTTTGAACGTCCGGTGAATGTTGAACCGAGAAAGCATTTTTCATGGTTTATGACAGAACAAGGATGAAAATGTTTATAAATCATACCAAACAAAAAAAACCTAAATTTGGAATTTAACACCTAACAATTGGGAGAATCTGAGACAGAACTGAGTTCACTCTCATTGTAATAAACTGTTGAATCATCTTATTGTTGAGTTATTTCTAATAAGAGACTTATGTTTTAGATTAAGTCAATTGTTGTTTGCTATTTTCTCGTTAGTGGTGGAACTAGTTGAACTAGTTGAGTCATGTCCTTGTTTTACGGTTGTTTCAGTTATTGTACTTTCTTTATAAGGCATTAAGGCCGATGGAATAAGATCAGATCATTCTGATGCAATTTGTGAATCCTTGAAACCAACTTTACAATTGGTATCAGAGCAAAAACACAAACGAGTGATCAAAGAGAGAGCAAAAAAAAGGAGAGAGAGAAGATGAGCGACGATAAAACTCTTACCAAAATTCCTTCATTCAATGGTCATTACAATCATTGGAGTGAACTGATGGAAAATCTTTTGCGTGCCAAAGGATTATGGAATCTGGTGGAAGAGGGATTCACAAAACCGTCGGAGGGAGCCGAGATGACCGCAGCGCAGCGGAAACAAATCGAGGAACTCAAGGTGAAAGACCATCAAGTGAAGCACTACCTGTTTCAAGCCATTGATCGGGTGGTATTTCAACAGATCTTAGATCGCAGAACATCCAAGATCATCTGGGAGTCAATGAAGAAAAAGTTCGGAGGCAATGAACGAGTGAAGAGATCTCTCCTCCAAACCTTAAGAAGAGACTTTGAGATTCTTGCAATGAAGGCTGATGAAAGCGTGGACGATTACTTTGGCAGAGTAATGTCCGTCTCGAACAAAATGAGAAGTAATGGAGAGGATATGCCAGATTCGAAGATTGTGGAGAAGATACTTCGAACGCTCACTGACAAATTCACATACGTGGTGGTGTCAATTGAGGAGTCCAAAGACACAAGCAGCATCACCATCGACAAACTGCAGAGCTCTTTGTCAGTCCATGAGAAAAAGTTCAAAAGGACCAGCTATGAGGAAGATGATCAAGCTTTCAATGTCAAAGGCAGAGGAAGGGGATCCTCCAGGGGTCGAGGCAGAGGGAGAGGTCGCTCCTTCAACAAAGCATTGATTGAATGTTACAAGGGCCACAACCTTGGGCACTTTCAGTATGAATGTCCGCAGACAAACAATGGTGCAAATTACGCTGAGATTGAAGAAGAAGATGAAGTATTACTGATGGCGTTTGTTGAACTTCAAGGCACAAGAAGAGAAGATGCTTGGTTTGTTGACTCTGGATGCTCAAACCATATGTGCGGAGAAAAGGGTATGTTCTCAAGTCTGGACACTGATTTTACGCGTAACGTCAAGCTGGGCAACAATCACAAGCTGATGGTTGGTGGGAAAGGAGTAGTGAAGATAACACTTAAAGGCATCAGCTATGTGGTTAACGACGTGTATTATGTCCCTGAATTGAAGAATAATCTGTTGAGTGTTGGGCAGCTTCAAGAGAAGAGTCTGGATGTGCTATTCAAGGGAGGAGAACACAAAACCTGCAGCATATTTCATCCAACAAGGGGAAAGATAGCTGAGTCTGTCATGAGTGCTAATCGGATGTTCATTCTGCTGGGAGAAACAAGTGAGAAAATGAAGGAAGAAAGATGCCTGCAAGTTAACATCTCAGACAAAGCTGAACTGTGGCACCATCGATATGGGCATCTCAGCCACAAAGGACTTCATACCCTTCACAGCAAAGAGATGGTTGTGGGTCTACCTGAACTTGCAGAGATGAAGACCATTTGTGAAGCCTGTGTCAAAGGGAAGAAGCATCGTGTACCATTTCCTAAGCAAAGCAAGTGGAGAGCAACTGAGAAATTACAGCTTGTCCACTCAGACCTCTGTGGTCCGATCATCCCTCCATCAAACAGTCATAAGAGGTACCTGATAAGCTTCATTGATGATTTTTCCAGAAAAACTTGGATATACTTTGTGCAAGAGAAGTCCGAAGCATTTCAAATGTTCAAGATATTCAAAGCACTCGTGGAGAAGCAAACAAGGTTGTTTATCAAGTGTTTAAGGACAGACAGAGGTGGAGAATATAATTCCAGCGAGTTCAAAGAATTCTGTAAGGAGAATGGGATCAGAAGGCAGCTAACCACAGCTTACACTCCCCAGCAAAATGGGGTTGCAGAGCGCAAAAACCGAACCATTATGAATATGGTGAGAGCAGTCTTGATGGAAAAGGAGGTGCCTAAATCTTTCTGGCCGGATGCTGTGCAGTGGGTAAACCATGTTTTGAACAGGTCTCCCACCTTGATTGTTAAAGATGTGACTCCTGAAGAGGCATGGAGCGGAAGAAAGCCTTCGGTCGAGCACTTCAGAATCTTCGGATGCATCGGGTATGTTCATATCTCCGATGTAAAAAGGACCAAACTTGATGATAAAAGCGCAAAGTGTGTCTTGCTAGGCTTCAGCAGCGAATCCAAAGCATACAAGATGTATGATCCAGTGGAGAAAAAGGTTCACATTAGCCGAGATGTGCTATTTCAAGAAGACAAGGGCTGGAATTGGGATGTTGCTTATTCGGGTGAACAGAACATGGAGCTTGCGTGGGATGATCAGTACGAGTGCAGTGAAAATCAAGAAATAGAAGAAGAAGAAGCAGAGGTAGCTGAAGATGAAGCAGAAGAAAGAACTAATGTTCCTGTGCCAAACAATCTAACTGCAGACACATCAACGTCTGCAGGCAGAACAAGGAGACCACCTGTTTGGGCTGCCGACTTTACCTCAGGAGAGGAGCTGTCAGATATGGAGGAAGAAGCAAATATGGTCAGGGTTGATAGTCTCGACAGCACAATCTGACATTTATGGCATTGATAGTCAGAGGTAGCTGAAGATGAAGCAGAAGAAAAAACTGATGTTCTTGTGCCAAACAATCTAACTGCAGACACATCAACGTCTGCAGGCAGAACAAGGAGACCACCTGTCTGGGCTGCCGACTTTACCTCAGGAGAGGAGCTGCCGACTTTACCTCAGGAGAGGAGCTATCAGATATAGAAGAAGAAGCAAATATGGTCAGGGTTGATAGTCTCGACAGCACAAATCTGGCATTTATGGCCATCTCAGATCCTACGAGCTTTGGAGAAGCAAGTTATAAAATGATTACTTTTATAACATCTCAGAATACGAACAGAAACGAGAAAGGAAGTGAAACTCACTGAAGACTCGAAACCGATGATAACATTAGAATTGTCTGTCTGAAACAAGTATCATAAATAAGAAAACAACAAACGACTAAAGACTAAATGGTAGGTAAACAAAGGAAAAAAAGAGTGTATTGTTGTTTCAAAAGTAAAAAAAAAAACCGGTCAGGCATAAGCTTGCATAAAATCTAAGAAACTGACGACAACTAAAAATTTACACCTGACAACAAAAGACCGGTAAACAGTAAATCATTCAGACTCGATTTCAGCAGCGGAGGAAAACTGGAACGAGTTTCGATGTTTTCATTGGATGGATCTTACTTGCCCCCAAGAGATGGGAACTGAGCAGTATCTCCAATGACAGGCGCAGCTTCACTACGGTGGCCACCAAATCCGCCGCTAGAAGCACCTCCACGGCCACGACCACGACCACCACGTTCACGGCCACCACGACCTCCTCCTCGGTAGTAGTTCTCACCCTCAGCTGGCTTCAGAAACTCATTGATGCTCACAGCCTGCAAATCAGAAACACACATTCATAAGCAAAAAAGCTTATTGACTTCTACAAAATATTTTTGATTCAGAAAACGATTTGAACCTTTTTGGCCTTCTCTTCTTTGTCATCTTTGCGTTTGTCCTTGTCAGAACCCTGTGAAATAGATCAAAGCAAGGGTCAGAATCGTCTAAGCAAGTAGATTCTATACACGATATTGTCTTACCAACTTGATGAAGATTTCATCGTTAGACTTCTTGTTTGAGAGTTGTTGCATTGATTCAAACACTTTAGTATCAACTTTCCTCTCGGAGGTGGTCTGAGATTGAAGGGCCTTTTTCTTCTCCTCAAGGATTTTCTCATACTCATCCAGAGTCATTTCCTAATTCGAAACACAAGCCAAAACACAATCAATGTGAATAACAAGTAAATACTGGTGAAAGGGCCTAATAACTACAACACTGATTTCAAGTTCCATCATCTATTCTCGGCTTACCTTGTTCTCAGGCTCTTTCTCCTCCTCAGCTTCAGCAGTGTTCTCCTTGTTAGCATCAGCAGCTACATCATCACCAGCAGGCTTCTCCACAGCATTCTTTTCAGTCTCAGCACCAGCTACTTCCTCAGTCTCACTAAAAGAGACAAGAGAATCTTCTTTTAGTCCAAATTCCAAATTCTTATCACATAAACCAACACAAATGTTTTTACAAAATGCAATCAATCCCAAAAACAAATGCTTACCCAGCAAAGACTTCTTCTCCTGGTGTTCCCCAATTTCCACGACCAGATCCTTCACGTTTGAAGTCACCCCTAACCAAAAGATAAACTTAAGCTCATGAGAATTTCAATTGCAGAACATGCCACAACAACAATAAAAGTTGAGCGAGAGTAAGACTAACCCCCTGCCAGTTCCACTGCGACGCTCGTGCGTCCTTCGAGGACGTTCGCCTTCACCATCTTCACGTCGACCACCACGGAAAGAACCACGAGGAGCACCTCCACCACCACCACGCCTCTCATAAGAAGACTTTGACACGTCTCCTTCCTCTGAGGGCTTACTGTATCCCCCTGAGTATCCATTGTTACCTCCGGGACCATCACCACGTCCAAAATCACGGTTGTAACCACCAGGACCTCCACGACCACGGCTAAACCCTCCGCTGCCTCTACCACCACCACGTGGAGCTTCACTCCTAGCCTCTTTCACTAATTAACAACATTAAGGTACCAACCTCAATCAACTAAAACAACGATACAAAACTCCAAAAATAAATTCAATGAATCAATCTAGAGAATCTAATATAACAACACATACAGTCTACTAAATAAGGAAATCGAATAGATGAGAAGTTTTATAGTTTGCTAATCGTGTTTAAGAGAATCTCACCAGCTTGAGCAGGAGGAAGTGGCTTCGACGGAAGCTTCCCAGCAGCTGAAATGGGACCAGACTTCTTGGACTTATCAGTTTTCTCCGGTGGAGCGATGGAGACGGCGAGCTGGCTTGGATCCTCAGCGTCGTTACCCAACAGATCAAAAGGGTTCAAAGTTGCCATATCTTAAAATCAATCGAAGTGATTAAAACACACAAACTTTTTTCCTCCCCAAAAGTATCACACAGAGTCACAGAGACAACTAACAGTAGTAATAAAGTGAAGCCATGGATTAATAGATCTAAAGAGTAGAAAAGAAACGTCGGAATGAAAGAGACGAAATGGGAATTAGGACAGGAACTAATTTGAGTTTGGTAAGAGAAATGAAAAGAAAGAAAATGTGGCAATTTTTGGAGTGGCCGAAAAGCGGCGTAGACAAACCTAATCGCTTAAAACACCCAGCTTTTCTCACTGATTGAGTGTGGTCGACCGCATGGTAAGATTGAAATGACCGGCAAGATCTAACCGTACGATGCAGCGATCCTGAAATCGACAAGAAAACAATACATAACTCAACAAGTCATTATTTGAGCAAACATGTTATTCTTCCATGGGCCATTTTTAGTATTGTTTGATCATATAGGCCCACGAAAAATTGATACTTTTTATTTTATTATATTTTTGCATTATCAAATGATCTTTATACGATCTTGATATGTCTAGGACTCTCAAATCAATGTCGACAAAAAAAGATATGTCTAGGGCTCTAGAGTCTACAAAAGTTTTTGTGATTTGAATAACTTCTTATCTTCTTATCTAACATATACACAACAAACAAAAAATATTGTGATATTCAAAGAAGTCTTATGTTTGTAAATTAGTAATACTACGATCGTTTACCTTCTTGGCTTCCATGCAACGCCAAATTTCTATTTATAACAAATGTCAAAAGACTCCAAAATATTACACAGTAACACAACTTCTATCATTTGCATTTAACATGCCAATGGCGATAAATAAAAAGCTTTTATTCCAAATAGGAACAAACAAAATAGTCGGCAAACTAATAATAACAATTAGGCTTGTCGGCAAAAAAAAATACATTTTTTCAAAAGTGCATAAAGAAAAAGAAAATTAGAGCTCTGTCATGACGACGGACTAGGCAAAACATCTCCGTTATCAGGAACAGTAGTAATACGGCTAAGTCTCAAAGACTTTCCAGTGTACAAAGCCTTGACGTTTGACCGTTGCTCATCCAAAAGCTTCCTCAAACTACGTTTCGCGTTTGCCCTAAACGGACAGTTCGACGCTAAAAAACCGTCGACCAAATGCAAATACGCCTCCAAGTCATGACAGCACGCCACGTCAGCATTCGGTTTCAAGTACGGAGACATCTTCATATCTACGCGCAGCTCCGCTCCCACGTGCGAGTAAGCCCATGGATTGTTCTTCTCCACCATCTCCATTATTATACCCCCTTGACTTCTCCCGTTATTACGATTCTGCCCTTGCTTATCGTTATCGGAGAATATCCCGGGGACTTTCGTCACCACGTCCTGGCTGTTCACTACGCGGAGGACTTTCACTCCCTTCGAATCCAACCGATCGGCGAACTCCCGGTTTCCGACTCGAGGCCCGCCGAATGAAAACACCGACACCGGAGGCGCGTGTGGAACACGCTCGGCTATGTCGTCGGCGGCGAGGAGCGCAATGGCGGCGCCGAGGCTATGTCCGGTGACGCTGATGCTCAGCTCCTCTCCGGCGTATAGATCGACGAGCCGGCTGATTTCTCCGATTAATGACTCGGCGAGGCTCGGCGCTTGGTGGCTACCCGTCGTGTAGAGGCTGTTGAATCCGCATTCCACTTTGGGCCGGGTCGGGTCAGATGGATCGGGTTTGGGTTCGGGCATGGAGACGAGATTCGGCCTGAAATTTTCTGACCACTCGAGCAACGTGGCGGTTCCACGGAGCGCGATGACGATCTCCCTCCTCCCCATCCGTCGGATCTCACTCGGATCATCGCAGACCGCCACGTACCCAACCCAGCTCGTCTGCTTAGTCATCCACCGTAGATCTGGTGCCACCTCATCAATCCACTTAGGCAAACGAACGGATGACGTGGCGTAAAGACTTTTTGTCACTTTATAAGACCCGTCAGGTAACGCCACGTGTCTCGGCGAACCTTCCGGGTCAGAGTGAAACGCTTGGTAAGCCGCCTGCACGAACTCTCCGTACCGGACAAGCTCTCGCCGGAGATTCTCGTCTAGCGGATCCAGTAACCCGGCCCAGTTATTCGACCCGTGTAGTTCCCGCCATTTAGACCCGAGTTTATTCTTCGGCGAACGCTCCTCCGATGACTTGGAGAGAAGCCTTTGGAGACGCTTGAGATTCTTCGGCGACATTTCGTCGACGGCTGCTTTCATCTGAGGCCAGATTCGCGCCAAATTCAAACCTTTGAGTAATGTCGACGTCGACGTCTTCGTTTTATCTTGACGAGAAGAGACACTGTCGAGATTATCTGTAAAGGTCGATGAGGTCTTGAGAACATTCTCAAGGTTCATGAGATGTTCTCTGTTGGTTTTTCTCGCCGGAAAAACCGAAAGTGTCTTCGTCGGGATCAAAGTCGATGTTTGTGTGCTGCAAGTGAAACGACGGCGTTTTGCATGGAATAAGTCGGTGTTCGGCGTAAGTGTCTGCATGAGAAAACTGTGGAGAGAGGTCTTGGCTCAAGTTTTGATGAGACAAGAACAGAGATGCTTAAGAAAGTAAAAGGTCTGGTATTTATATGGAAACATGTCGATGGTGGCTGTGACGTCATTTGAATTAGGATTGAGCCTTGAATATTGAATGTTATTACCATTTTGACCCTCTGTTTTGACTTGACTTTGTTTTTATTTGATTTGTTTATTTCCTTTCTGATTGTAAGGAATATTGAAATTCTTATTTAGGACCGTATTGGCTGGCCATTGTTTATATTTTGGACCGTTTCCATTATAAGTCTCCGTGTGTTTTCAAGAAAAGTCCTGCTATTTTTTCTTTGCACATGCAATCAAGCTACCAAAGGGCCGGGTACTTCGATGGCAGTACGTATTGTGTATTCAATAATGTAATTTTAACTATTAAAAAAAAACCTCAAACTAATTTCAGGATATACAATTACGGTTTGAATTGTTATTAGTTACTTGTGGATACTGTTGTTTTGCCGTTTTGATGGACGAGTCTGACTTAAAAGTAGTTACTAGATACGTGAAATAGATAGACAGTAGAAACATGTTTTGGTCTATTGTGCCGTCTTCCTAGTTACTATGATCGTTGGATATATTGTTCTATAAAAGGTACAGTCCGAATAGTATAGAAAGGAACCCTCTTTTCTTGATATAAGAGATGGCAAAACTCAATTGGTTTTATGCTGTGTGCTTAAAGTTAACGCAGTATATTCTGACACGCCACTTCTAAATATCAATTTCGAAGACCGGTTTCCGAATTTTAAGATTTTTAAGTTTGATTTGCTATGATTTTTAGGTCACTCTCCAATTATATGTAATAAAAGAATGTGTGTTTTAAAAACTGATGAATTTAAAGATTGTGAAAAAAATATTAAATTCAACCAAATCCACCTAATATATATCCTCTTGTATAGATTGTTTATGAATCGGTTATAACTTAATAATAAAGAATGCCTCAGATTTTTGGTCTACCATAACATTCTAACAACTAATAATATAACAGATTAAAACAATTGTAAACCAAACAATAAATACACCGCGTAAAGCAAATAGCGTAGGATGTAAAGTATATATAAATTTTGACGAAATAAAAGGACTATAAGTTCTGAGTTGGTCAATCTCAATTCAGTTTATAATTTATTTCTTTACCATCGGTTATTGTCGGTATGTACGAACTATAGGTGTGTGCATTTGAAAAACAACAAGTTTATGTGTGAAAGTGATAAAGTTAGTGCAGTACCGTTAGATAACCTTGTACCAACTTACCTTGCGGTCATGGTTTTAAGATTATTGCATTTCAAACAATTATAGTTATTTACGTTCCCCGTTTGGAGACGGGATCAAAAAGTTATATATATACATAAAAAAATCTTTAACAAAATTATATTACTTATGATAGAGTTTCCATTTTCCATATGAATTGTTTTTAACTTTGCAAATACTGCTTTACAAAATAAAATTTAATTTGCAAGGACTTTGAAGTATGATCAATCATCGATGTACTTTATCTTGTCAAATGCCTGATAAAAAAAAACAATAGATTGCAAGACCACATGACAGTACCTATTACAAACGATGAGTGATGAACAGAAATGGATCAAGCTCAATCGATCATGGAGAAGATGAGCTCGAGAGAGAAAGATGAGAAGAAGATATTTTGGGAAAATTTCTGTTATTTCATTAAAGGAAATGTACAAGAGTTATATACAATTGTTGTGTGATACCCGGGACAAACCGGTTAACTATTTACAGATAGTATTTACAATAACCAACTAAACCAAGGCCTAATATCCCCTCTCAAGATGGCGCATATATGTTAATCACAGACATCTTGCTTAGTAGAGACTCGAACTGAGTTGGAAATAATGGTTTAGTGAGGAGATCAGCGAGTTGGTTACCTGTACGAACATGCAGAGTTTTAATTAAGCCCTTGTCAATCTTTCCTCTAATACTGTGACAATCGCGTTCAATGTGTTTGGTACGTTTGTGATAAACGGTATTGTTAGCGATGTGGATAGCTGAAGTGTTGTCACAATAAAGAGAAGAAGCTTCTGAAACATCGACCCATAGATCTTCCAGGAGATAGCGTAGCCAAATCATCTCCTTTGCTGCATAAGCTAATGATCGATATTCAGCCTCACTGGTGGACATGGCAACAACATCTTGCTTATTCGATTTCCATGAGACCAGAGAAGTACCAACGAACATGCAGAAGCCTGAAACTGATCTGCGTGTGTCTGGACAAGTTGACCAATCAGAGTCGGCAAAACCAGATAGTTTCAAGTCAGACGTAGCAGAGTAAAAGAGACTCTGTCCTACGGTACCCTTCAAGTAATGCAAGACCTTGTAAGCTGCATTAAGATGAGGAACACGAGGAGAGGACGTGTATTGACAGAGTTTATGGACTGCAAAGGTAATATCCGGGCGAGTAAATGTCAGGTAAAGTAATTTACCGACCAGTGTTCTGTATTGTTCTGCGTTCTCCAGAAGATCACCATCAATTTTGGACAGTTTGAGATTTGGCTCCATCGGAATAGAAGAGGGTTTACAACCAAGAAGGCCAGTCTCATCCAACAACTCAAGAGTGTATTTTCGTTGACAAAGAGAGATGCCAGAAGAGTTACGAGCAATCTCTAAACCAAGAAAATAACGCAATTCTCCCAAATCACGCAGCTTGAAAGAGCATTGTAGAGCATCCTTGAGAAGTGCAGTGGCGATGATAATATCGTCCACGTACACAAGAACAGCCATATAAACGTTACCCGCATTTCTGAGGAACAGAGTGTGATCACCTGAAGACTTATGAAAACCAAGGTCGAGCAAAGCTTCTGAAAACTTCAAGAACCACTGACGGGAAGCCTGTTTAAGACCGTACAGGGATTTTTGGAGCTTGCAGACAGCATTAGGTGGCAGCTCTTCTCCTCCACGAGGAACATAACCAGGAGGTAAAGACATGTAAATCTCTTCTTTTAAATCTCCATTCAAGAAGGCGTTAGAAATATCCAACTGAGTAAGAGACCAACCCTTTGCAGCAGCAACAGCAATCAAGAGTTTAACAGTAGAAAGCTTGGCAACTGGTGAAAAGGTATCGACATAGTCAAGGCCTTCCTGTTGGGTATAACCCTTAGCAACCAAACGAGCCTTGTAGCGCTCAAGACTCCCATCAGCATTCAACTTGACTTTGAAAACCCATTTACAACCAACAGGCTTTTTACCTTCAGGTAAAGAACAGATAATCCATGTTCCATTGTCTTCAAGCGCAGTTAACTCGATTCCCATAGCATCACACCACTCCTTAAGATCCTTAGCCTGTTTATAAGACGTTGGTTATAGGATCTTATTCACAGCATTAATGAAGATCAGATAAGGGTCAGACAACGCAGAGTAGCAAAGGACCTCAGAGAGTGGATGTTGAGTGGAAGAATCAAGAGAATAGCAATGATAGTCTTTAAGATAAGAAGGAGGTTTAGAAGCTCTCGTACGTGTAGTATCAGGTACAGCGTCTGAAGATGTACCAGGTGAGGAATTCTCCGTATGATCAGGGTGGACCACAGGAAAGAAATCCAAAACATCAGGAGAGAGACTTCCCCTCTGTCTAAAAGGAAACAAGTCCTCGTAGAAGACTACATTGCGAGAGACAAAGACTGAATTACTCTGAAGATCAAGCAGCTTGTAACCTTTGTATCCCGGTGGATATCCAATGAAAACGCAGGCACAAGCTCGATCTTGGAACTTGTGGCGATGTTTAGGTGAAGTACTGACATAGCAGAGACACCCAAACGTTTTCAGATGAGTATATTCAGGCTTTTTGTGAAGAAGCATCTCAAATGGAGTTCTGTTGGAAAGGACCTTGGAAGGAGTCCGATTGATGAGAAAAACAGCTGTGAGAACACATTCACCCCATAGAGAGAGAGGCACTTGAGACTGAAACAACAAAGATCTAGCAACATTCAGGATATGCTGATGCTTCCGCTCAACAACCGAGTTTTGTTCAGGCGTCTCTGGACAAGAATGGTAGGAAACGATGCCCTTTTTTTTGTACAAAGAATCAAATTTTAATTCAGGTGCATTATCAGATCGAACACCTTTTATCTGTGCATCAAATTGTTTCTCAACCATTGCTATGTACTCAGGAAAGACTGTAAGAACATCACTCTTTAAGCGCATCAAGTAAATCCAAGTGACCCTTGTGTGGTCATCTACTATTGTCAAAAAAATCTTAATCCCTCCTGTGTTGGTTCTGAGAAAGGCCCCCAAACATCAATGTGAAGCAATTCAAATGGAGAAGAACAGAAGTTGTGACGAGTAGGAAAAGACAATTTCTTTTGCTTAGCACGATGACAAATATCACAATGCAGTAAACCCTTATTTTTGGCTTTGGAAATACCAAGTTCATCCATACGAAGGTCTAAACGTTCAAAAGAAGTATGGCCAAGCCTTTGATGCCAAACAGATGCATCAATTACAGAGTTGTAAGAAAAGAAGTAGAAACAGGTTCTGCAGGTGCTGAATCATCCACATCCAACACGTACAGATTAGCTACCCGTCTACCGCTTCCAATCGTCGAGCCCTTGATACGATCCTGTATCAGACAAGAGTCAGGATCAAATATCACTCGAGAGCCCATAGCCGATGTCAAAGCACTGATACTCAACAAATTCAGGCAAAACTCAGGTATATACAGAACATTCTTCAAGACAATATCAGCATTGATTACAACACCACTGACTTTAACTGTAGCTCCATTAGGTAAGTTCACATGATGCTGAACAGCAGTATTAATATCACAGAACAGCGAGATATCGTGTGAAACATTATGAGTTGCACCAGAGTCAATAATCCAGGTTTTAACAGCAGTCACACATTCAGTAACATTAAGAATACCGATGAAACTGAATGTGAAGGATGAGAAAGTAATACCAGATGGGTTATTGGCTTGAGAACTCGTACTTGCAGAAGACACATTAGTGGAAGGAGTATGTGGTTTCGGCTGTAGCTGAGAACTGAAGAAAGCAATGAAATTATGTATCTGATCCTTAGTCATGCTTCCAACAAGGCTATCCAAACCTGGCTCTGATACCATATTACAAACGATGAGTGATGAACAGAAATGGATCAAGCTCAATCGATCATGGAGAAGATGAGCTCGAGAGAGAAAGATGAGAAGAAGATATTTTGGGAAAATTTCTGTTATTTCATTAAGGGAAATATACAAGAGTTATATACAATTGTTGTGTGATACCCGGGACAAACCGGTTAACTATTTACAGATAGTATTTACAATAACCAACTAAACCAAGGCCTAATAGTACCAGACTAGACTTTCTTTATAAGAAATCTTTGTACAATTTATCTAACAATACAAACAGAAACAACAAGTTTAGTGAAATTTTCTTACATGATATTGCAGAGTTATATAAGTGACATCTACCGTCCAAACTTAACAACCTTTCAAGTTTCAACATACAAGAACTTCCAGAGTCGTAGATTTATATACTTCGTGTATTTCTAAAGTTTAATCACAAAAGTGCAACTCTTATTAGCAATAGTAATTCAATCGTTCGTCTACAAATGCGAAACATTAATACAAACTCAAATTAGAGTTTCATGGACTACATATAATGTATACAGTAAAACCTCTATAAATTAATAATGTTGGGACCATGATATTTTATTAATTTATCGTGATATTAATTTATCTATAAATTAATAATTATTAATTTATAGAAAAAATTGTTTTTTGCATATAATTTTCTAAAAATTTATTTAGAATAATGTTATATTTTATAATTTTAACAAATATCATAATATACATTATGATTAAAAATCATAACTATCACAATAAAATAATTTTCAGTATATTAGATTGTCCATAAAAAATATACATGTTCATAAGTTTAAAATTTATAAAAAAAACTATGGTTACTATCAGTATTATTGATGATAAAATTGAAGATAATACTACAATACATTTACAAATATTTACATGTAAGAAAATCAGTTATCACATCAAAAAATCATCATAAATTTTGAATGTATATAGTAAAACAGCAATAAAAGTTACTAATATAATAATTAGAGAGATGACTTTAACTAAAAACAAACACATTAGTCATATTTTAAAATATTAAATTTATATATATTTGCATAAAATTATATAATTATTAATTTATGTTTTTGTTGGGACCATGTATTTACATAAGGGTTTCAAAAAAAATTATTATCTTCTTATTTTATCTAATTTGATGGATTTTTACATTGACCCGACTTGAAACCAGCAAAATTTATTAATTTATAGTGATTATTAATTTATCGAGTATTAATTTATAGAGGTTCTAATGTATTTAAGGTATGGATCCCACGTACTATTTTTATAAGTTTACAAAAATCAATTCTTCGTAAACGTATGACTCACAACTACAACAACCTGGCGTCACGCCTCAGTACGTAGTTTATTAAATAAACAGGTCAAATATTTATGTTGCATTCAATACCAACTGCACAGGAAAATATTCCCATATTCATGCATGGTAACTCGTTCAACAAATAAGAATAAACTTACGTAAGCATTACCACCCAACCAACAAATTAAATCTGGAAACATGTTTGAAGTTTTCAAATCACATACTAGACATTTCAAATATATGATCACCTTTTCAACAACTGTAGTGAAGTACTGAAATAAATATATACTTTATTTTACATGTCCTGTTATTTTACAATATTTAGATTTACATTGTCAAGAAAAAAATAACGTTCTTTGTTCTTTTGTTGGGCATGGCTCGATGCCTCGATGGCTAGAGGAACTCTCAACTAAGCGTGTTGAACCGTTAAGGTTTGCCATCCAGCTCAGCTGTATTAACGACACGTGGAAAAGTCAGACCCATTGATTCAACATTTGACTAAACTTCTACAGTTCTACTGTTCCGACTTACGAATGTATAGAGAATCGCAGCCGCTTAATGGGCCTCATTGACTTATTAGCCCATAAATGTCTTCGTGTAAAATATATGTGCACAAAAAAATGAAAAAGACGTTGTCAAGAAAGAAAAAATGAAAAAGACTATACAATCTTTTTAACTAAGAAATCTCATTCTTTGTATACATCGAAACAGAGACAGAAAACACAACAATATTTGCTTTTGAGTTATAGAATGATTTAAGAAATTATTATTGTTTTGGGATAGTTTTTTATATGACTTTATATATAGATAAATATCACATTTATGTTCAAAATCTGTTTATATTAACAAACTGGTTTAAGAAAGATAATCTAAAATATATAGCATAAAATAAATTTGAATTACCCTTAATTTTTTTTGGGGTAAAATTTACCCATAGTTATAGAAAAGTAAATACTATGGATAAACTCGAAACTAGTAAACTTATCAGGTAAGTAGTCTTCAATCACGTGTCTATTCACTAGAGATTTCTCGGAAAAAAAAAATTCTTGCATCGGCCTATGATATCGGACTGTGAGAACTGAGAATCATCAAAATGCAAGGAGGAATAGTGCATCTCACCACTCCAGTCTTCACTGAATGTCGTCAACATGTGATGGGAGCATACACACAAACGGAAAAAAGGCCGATTCGTACCTCAACACTATAACTTGTACCAATAAATATCCATACAATTTTAATAGGTTAATCAGTACCTGAACTTATTAAAATTGGTAAATACATACCTCAACAATGTTTTTGTGGCCAATTAGTACATTGACTTACTGTTAGTCAAATCTGTTAATTTGCAAACAGAATCCGACTCAGATGCCACGGTGGATGTTGTGTTCGAATGAAACCAATACAACGTCGTTTAAGGTTAAAAATTTGGAAAAAGAGGCAAAAACAACGTCGTTTTAAATTTATTATTCATTAAAAAAATAAACCATCTATATCTTTTTTCATCTTCGTCGTCCCTCTTCTTCGTCAACTTAAAACGGGGAAGAACATCGATAGTTAGGGTTTGGGTAGTGTTCGAAAAAATCGGAATGACTTCATTGTCGAACTCTTACGCTTCCTCGAAGATTCCAGGTAGGTTTAAGTTTGCAATTTTGATTTTGATTTTGATTCAAACACTTTCAGAAAATCAAATCGGAAATTTCAATTTTGATTTTTTAAAAATGTATAATAAATTTAAAACGACGTCGTTTTTGCCTCTTTTTCCAGATATTTAACCTTAAACGACGTCGTATTGGTTTCATTCGAACACAGCATCCACTATGGCATCTGAGTCGGATTCCGTTTACAAATTAACAGATTTGACTGACAGAGAGGAAGTCAATATACTAATTGGCCACAAAAATATTATTGAGGTATGTATTTACCAATTTTAATAAGTTCAGGTACTGATTTACCTATCAAATTTTTTTGGGTATTTATTGATACTAAATTATGGTGTTGAGGTACTAATCGGCATTTTTCCCACACACAAACTAGGAAGACATTCACTGGCCAAACCTAACTAACGTTCATGCTTTGATGGTGTATTGTAGGAACGCCCCGAACCTACTTAACACATGACACATGCATACTATCGACAAACGGAAAACATATTAGTCCCATAGAATAGTGAGTGATGGATGCTGTATCCGAAGTCCGAACCCGATTAAAATATATATCACATAGATACCTAGCTAGACGCCTAATACAAAGTGATATATATATATATAAGAGATATTGACTCTCGAGTCTCGACCAATATATATCTTAAAATATTCAAAATGTACCCTAAACACCTAAAATCTTAGAACAACCATATACTATCTCAAGCGGTTGCTTCCTCGTTTAACCTCTTTACGAGCCTTTTGTCACTCTAGCGTAAGAGGGCCTTTGAAATATCCCACATTGGTGTCTCGAGTGATTTGATCGCTTCTTTCGTGGTGTACAAGTTTATTTACTCTTCACTGAATCACGTATTAAAATATGTTTTAGCGTAATCCTTGAAACATTATGAACTCCTTGGATTCTCTATTAATGAGAACACAATATATGTAGAAATCGATCTCACGCAACTAATAATCTACATACTATTTTTACTTACAATTTATGTAACTCATAATATTTATGTTATTTTCATATGTTTATCTTTCTCTACGCAAACAACACAACAAATGTGGAAATATATATGGTCCAATGGCTGACTGATGAGAATGACAAACATTATGAATTTTTGCAGATCAAGAGAGACAAACCCTTACTAGAGGTGCAAGGTAAAGTATAAAATGGTTATTCATAAATATGATGCAAGTAAAATCGTTTATCGTAAATCTCTGTAATACAAGTATAATGGTACGCTGTTGTAGAATTATTTTATTGTATTTCTAATTTACAATTACTGTAAAAAATTAGTTTTGCGTAAATTAATAAATCATCATAATATGGTGGTAAAAAATAAAAACTGAAAAGTTATATAAGGTTATTAAAACTTTTAACAAAAAAATATAAGGTTATCAAAAAACTGCAGATTAACTGTATAATGTGAGCTGTGTTTTGATAGATATACACTCCATATAAGATAAGAAAAGATTATAGGGGTAGGGAACAAAAGGAAAGTTGGTAAAGGTGAAAAAGAAATAAAAAATACCATAGAAGAAAGCTCGGTACAGATAAATAGAGAAATAGACAATCGAGGTCCAAAAAAAAAAAAAAAAAAAAAGAGAAATAGACAATCTACACACACTGATTTTAAATCTTCCTCCTCATCCTCCTCGGTTTCCGGCGAGTGTTTATCTTCTTCTCCGGCACATCGACTCGTCTTTCCGATCAGGTCTCAGCTTCGTTTCCGCACCTGTCCTAAAAACTTAATGTTTATCTTATATTTTAGCTTCCACATTACTATAGCATGAATTCACTTCGTAATCTGAGATCTTTTGTTTCTCTTTGGTCTCACCTCTAGCTCAAAATCGAAGCTATACTATAGTATAATGATTATTATAATTTGTCTTTTTAGTTTCCTCGATCTACTCCTTCGATTTTACTCTCAAGACCATTGATAATCCCAATTGCTCTATTGCAGAATCCTTTCCCAGAAGATTTGAGGGATCTAATTGTTGCATCGACGAGTTGATTGCTGTGAAGTAGAAACCCTAGAGGCCTCAGGATTTTGCATAAATCGGCTGATTGTAATTTGAAACCGAGGATGTGTAGGCAAAATTGTCGCGCGAAATCCTCACCGGAGGAGGTGATTTCAGCTGATGAGAATCTCTTGATATATTGTAAACCTGTTCAGCTTTACAACATTCTTCACATTCGCTCTCGATCCAACGTATGATTTGCTTCTCTCTCTCTCTCTCTCTCTGTCTCTCATCAGTTTTTGTTTTTAGCTCAATCTCACATGTGAGACAGTAGTTTGGGTTTTAGGTTTAGCTGATTCTGGTCTGTGACTCACTCATGGTGGCGAGTTTGTGCTTCTTTTGCCTCTTATGTTTATCTTCACTTTGTTCTTTGTTTATGCAGCCATCGTTTCTTCCAAGAAGCTTGAACTACAGAATTCGAGCAAAGGGCCTAAGAAGGTATGAGATTTCTTCTTGGATTGAATAGTCACTAAAGTGATTATGGAAACAGATTATATATACATTATACCTAGGTTGAGTAGATATGTTGAGTAGATATGGACATGTTGAGAGGTTTCTTCTCTGTTCATGCTAATGCTCTTATAATTCTCTATTGTGTTTCGATTAGGTCCAGATCTGCTGGGATGGTAGTTTTCAACTATAGGGATTGCGATAACACATCTCAGAAAACTGAAGGTGAGTTCTTTCTCTGTTCTTGGGCATTTCGATGTATGTGTCTCTCTCTCTATGTTTCTCTAGTTTACTTTTTATTATAAAAAATTCTGTATTGTCATGCAGTTATGGAGAATTGTTCTTGTCCATTTTGCGATATGCTATGTGGTAGCTTCAAGGTGCGAAACTATTACTACTGAGATTTCTTCCGAGGCCTTCCATATTTGTGAAATGGTGCTGCTGTTTCATGTCGTATACTTGCATATTTTGTGTTTCGTTGATCTTCTCACTCTTTTTAACTGACGAGTGTGGTTATCCGGGAAAACGTGTTCCACTTGAAGCTTACAATCCATTGTCTTGTGTCTGTGCAGGGGCTGCAACTTCATTTAAATTCATTTCATGACTTATTTGAATTTGAGTTCGTGGTATGTGCTTTTTAATGGATTTCCTTGTTTTGCTATGTCTTGTTGTTTTTATATGAAATCATAGTTAATAAGGGTCTTTCCTATTATAGGTTTCAGAAGAATACCAGACAGTTAATGTCTCTGTAAAACTTGATGCATTCGGATTTGAGGTCAGCTACGTTTAATTTGGTAACTTAGTAAAACCTTCAGGTGGTCAACATTTTAGTTGATATTCCTTCCTTCTTTATTTCAGGTAGAAGGAAGTCAAGAAGATAAGTTTGAACCGTTCTCTTTTTGGTAACTTATCAAAAGCCAACTTTTCAAAACCCCTTAAATATCAGCAAATTCTTTGCTTTTCTTTTCAGTACATCTCCATGAACCCAAACAAAATGTCTTGCAGTTCGAAGCCTCGTCAGCGTACACAAAGAGGTGGTAGAAAAAGGCGACTTAATGTACGCTTTTTACCAATGGATTCACCCAGTTTAGCTAATGAGACAGAAAATGGAAACGCACTGCTGAATGATGGTAAAATCTCCTCTTCTCCTTTTGGCTTTGCGCTTCGAATTTTGGGAGAAGATATAGTGTCTTGATTATTCGGTTATTGTACTTCTCCTCTCATTCTTTTCTCGAGGGAAATATTACCATAACTGATATACAAAATTAATGGCATGCTGCAGGAAACCGTGGTTTAGGAAATCCTGAGTCAACTAATCTCGCTGGACAATTTGGGATGACTAGCAACACTCCACCAGCCATAGCTCAATCTTCTCTGGACTCCGATGGTAAAGCTATGTTAACAAGCGAAGCTGTGGTGGCCCCTCCTGCTAAGACAAGAAAGTTATCTGCTGAGCGCTCAGAGGCTAGAAGGTTTGTTCATCATGACAGTCAGTTTTAGTAGTTTACCATTCCTGTTTTTACAACCTGTTCTTCCTATTATGAATTGCTGTTTCCTTAACTGCCATATTAACCGGAAATTTTTCTTTCAGCAACCTACTTCTCCAGAAACGCCAGTTCTATCATTCTCACGGAGGTCAGGTGATTCAAGTTCCTTCACCGACTTATTTTGCATGTTATTTGAATTGCACCGTTATCATATCCTACCAAAGTAGACTTGTTCCCAATCCAAGTTACTCTTTCTCATTAATAGTTTGTATCTATATCCACGCGAATAATGAGATGTCCATGTTACTGTTATATTGTCACTAACCAAAAACTGCATGTTTTTGTGACAAAGCCAATGTCACTTGAGCAAGTGATGTCTGGTGGAGATAGTGAAGATGAAGTTGATGATGACGTTGCAGATCTCGAAGATCGCCAGGTATTCCATGATTTCTTTCTGAATTTCATTTGATAAACAACGAACAATGGTGTATATGATGTAGCTTGCTAATGGCTTTTGAAACTTACAAAAAAGCTGCAGATGCTTGATGACTTTGTGGATGTGAATAAAGTCGAAAAGAGACTCATGCACCTCTGGAACACATTTGTAAGGAAGCAAAGGTAATACACATTAATACACACATATGCACAGGTTTACGTGAGATTCATGGTAACGATATACTGTACAGTAGAATTGCTTTTGCTATAGAATAGGTTATCTAATAATATATAGATGTTGAATAGATTGATCGATCCACCACTATTGATTTTTCTTATGGAACATTTTGCTCAAATCAAAATATGATTATTTGTTGCAGGATTCTCGCGGATGGTCATGTTCCTTGGGCTTGTGAAGCGTTTTCAAAGTTTCACAAGAGCGAATTGCTCCAATGCTTATCACTCTGCTGGTAAATCTCTCCAGAATTATATATGTATTTATATAATACACCAAGAACATTTTGTATACACAATAACAACAACATTTGTATGTTGTTCAGGTGTTGGAGAACATTTTTGGTCAAACTATGGAACCATGGACTTGTCGACGCGAACACCATCAACAACTGCAATCTCATCCTCGAGACTTGCGATAATAACTCAGACAACACCAACAATAACTCAGGCAACACCAACAACACCAACAACACCAACAACAATGACTCAGACAACACCAACAAAAATAACAGTGTGGATCATCGCGAGGATATGGATGTTGACGACGGTGACAAAAACAGCAAAGACAAGTAATAGGAAGATCTCCGATTCAAAACGACTCCGTTTATCGAATTGCAACTTCCATCTTTTACCAAACAGAGAGATATTTAACCTTTTTAGTCTGCTAATGATTGCAATTTTTACTTGGGAAAATGTATTCTGCTCAACTTTTATCAGTTAGAACTTAGAATGTTATTCTTCTTGTTTTCTTCTCATTAATTCATATTTTCTTGTTTATTCATTTTATTTCTCTCAATGCACTAATCCTTAGTAGAAATTCTTATTTGTGTAGTGATTTGCTTAGATGTCAGCTCCACAGCGAGTTTCAGAATGTTTTGCTTACGTGTCAGCTTTAAAAAAAAATTTGGCTATAAAAACACTTACCTTATTTTTCAATTATATGGCATTTTTATTTATTTTTTATGATGTATTAAAATAACTTAAAACAAAACGCTCTAAATTATTATGGTTTAATGTCAATCAAACCGTTTCTAAAAATTTTTAAAACCGAAATTTTGTAAACTAATGAAAAAAGTAAAAAAAATAATAATAACGGTATTTATGATGTTTAGATTAGAGTTTTTGATTTCAAATCTTTTAGTATAAATATATACACGATTTTTCTTTAATATTCTCACACCCTTTTAAATTTTTAAACATCTTCGTTTTTTGTTGAATAAATCCGTACAGTACTTCAGTACTTCAAATCATTATATTTTTGTTCTATGATTGTGAGTATATATATAGTTTGTATCCTCGTTCAAAAACCGTATCAGCCCAATAGACAAAAAAAATATTTATAGTCAGCATCATGTCTTCAAACATTAAAATGCAAAAAAACTAACAAGCAAATATACTCAATAATAAAGAACAGAAACTCAATGAATCCAAACTATTATTAAATTTTAAACAATCAAATAAAAAATTATATCAGTCTGCGCAAAACGCGAAAATATTCACTAATTCATTTTATTTCTCTCAATGCACTAATCCCTCATAGAAATGCTAATTAGTGAGAAGATTTTTAATTAATTAGGGTTTACAGATTATAGGCATTCAAATTAAATTATAAGAAAGAAAAAATTCTAAGGTCCAATAAGTTCTCCGCTTCCCATAATTTTAGGGGAAATTAGCGCGCGAAACAAAAGAAATTCGAAAAGTAAAATAAATCTCTCAAATTGCAGAAGCCTAAGTGGTAAGAGAGAGAGAGAGAGAGAGAGAGAGAGAGAGAGAGAGAGAGAGAGAGAGAGAGAGAGAGAGAGAGAGAGAGAGAGAGAGAGAGAGAGAGAGAGAGAGAGAGAGAGAGAGAGAAACACTGACTCTTTCTCAATTGTACATGTTAGACCTATGAGGTCTCCTCAGACAACGAAGAAATGGAAAATAATTCATCAGTTGGATTGTTCAATGACTCAAAGAAAGAAGTGAAAAAAGAATCAAGCTTCAAGCAGGAACCAGTATTCTGTGAACCAAGGTGTAGCCCTGGAATTTCCCGGTACAACCCAAAACTGCAATTTCCTTTGAAGAACGAAGCTTCTTTACATGAGCTGACACAGCAACATATCCAAGAAACCATTTCCATGAGCTCCAGTAGACAAAAGTCTCCAAAAAAGGCCGCTCAGAAGGCTTGTCTAGATGAAAACCTGGAGTCAGTAGACCAAGAATCAGATGACAAGGAAAACCACTGAAACTGGATTTGTGACGATGAAAAGGGCGAGATTCAGAGAAGCAAGAGACAGATGTTCCATGACTAAACCAAATAGAGGAGTTCTAATGGGGTGTTCGAGAGGTGAAGAGTTAAAGAACATAGCTGGGGAGGAAGACAAAGAAGAAAGAAAGAAGAAGAGAAGAGTTTTGGGGGAGATGTCGAATCACCAGTTCTCTGGAGTCGTGGAGATTCCAGGAAAATGGCATTGCCCTCAGAGAAATAAATGGAAATCAGGTCCACTATTGAAACAGCTCCGACTTGATGCATGGGTACATAAAGTCTGAGTCTTTAAGAAGGCTTCACGTTTCATCAACAATGTATCATATTATATCCCTCTCTTTTTGTAGTTTTCCATATTATGCTCAAACTGGTAGATAACACAAGAGTGGATCAGACCAAAACTACTAATTTTCTGTATTGGCATGTAGTTATGGAGAATTGTTCTTGTCCATTTTGCGATATGCTATGTGGTAGCTTCAAGGTCGGAAACTATTCGGAGGCCTTCCATATTTAACACATTTGTGAAATGCTGCTGCTGTTTCTTGTCGTATACTTGCATATTTTGTGTTATGTTGATCTTCTCGCTCTTTTTAAACTGCCGAGTGTGGTTATCCGAGCAAAAGTGTTCCAAATGGAGCTTATAGTTATAGTTAATAAGGGTCTTTCCTATTGTAGGTTTCAAAAGACTACCAGACAGTTAGGGCTTAGAAGATGTTATTGGGAGGTTGATTTATGAAGATTTTAAGAATCTAAAATTCTATGGTTATTGGTTTGTGGAATTTTACATTCTTAATAGATTCCACTGTTATTCATTTACAGATTATAAAAATCTATTGTTATTGATTTGATGATTTTTATAAACTATCCAAAATCCATTGTTATTCAAAAAGTTTACATTTTAATGATTATCTGATTCTGTTATAATCTATTGTTACTGAATAATGATTCTTTACAATTTAATTCATAAATCATGATTCTTAAAATACTATTTATATCCTTTGGATTCTCAAGGTCTTGTCATATTACAAATATTTTGTGGATTGTTTAAATCCAAACTCTCTCCAAATTTTACAAATCCAACAAAACTCTAAAAAAATTGACAAATTTCATGACTTTTAAAATCAACTAAGAGGGTGTTATTGGTTCTATATGTTGAAATCAACTCCATTAGAATGGAGTAGATCAGATTTTAAATTTTTTTAATTTATTTAGAATCTATTATATATGAGTTGTTTAAAATTTTAAATTACTTAGTAGTGTATTTAGAAAGTCACATGATATCATTTAAAATATAATAGAATAGAATTCTCAATAAATTTTAGATTTAAAAAGATCAAAGAAAAAAACAACCTATAAAACACATACGTAACAAAAAAACCAACATAAAAAATGCAACCTAAGAAAAAAAAAAAACACATTCACTCTGTATTGGTTTGAATCCATCCTAATTTTCTTCCACTGACATACTAACAAAAACGTCTTGTATTCTCGAATGGAGAAGGGAAAAAGATATGTGCGAGGAAAAATAGAGAAATGGACCAGGGAAAAGTCAAAAATGGAGAGAAAAGAAAAAATAGAGGGAAAAGAGAGTAACATAAGGTTAATAATTTTAGAATTATATTTTAGAATTATCAAAATCTGAAGGTAAAATGTTAGATTTTGATTGCTACATTTAACACATAAAAATAGTTTAACTCTTTCACCTAAAATCAGTTGTAAGAGTCGGTTAAACTTGAATAACATAAGATTTTAACTGACTTATTCAACTCTTTTAATTGAATAACAATGGATTTTCAAACTCTATTAATGGAGAGATTATAAATACATGAATCAAAATCTTTGAATTTTTATAAAGAAATAAAATCAATGGATTTAGACTTTATTAAAAACCATGATTGAATAAAAATCTTTATAAATCTAACTCTCAATAACCCCACATTAATGTCTCTATGCATTCGGATTTGAGGTCACCTACGATAAATTTGGTAGCTTAGTAAAATCTACAGCTGGTCAATTTTAGTTGATATCCTTCCTTTTTGATATCAGGTAGAAGCAAGTCAACAAGATAAGTTTGAACCGTTCTCTTTTTGGTAACTTATCAAAAGCCAGACTTTTCACAACCCCTTAAATATCAGCAACTCCTTTGCTTTTCTCTTCAACTCATCTCCTTTGCATTTCTTTTCAATTCATCTCCTTTGCTTTTCTTTTCAACTCATCTCCTTGAACCCAAACATAATGTCTTCCAGTTCCAACCCTCATCAGCATACACAAAGAGGTGGTAGAAAAAGGCGTCTTAATGTACGCTTTTTACCGATGGATTCACCCAGTTTAGCTAATGAGACAGAAAATGGAAACGCACTGCTGAATGATGGTAAATTCTCCTCTTCTCCTTTTGGCTTTGCGCTTCAAAAATTTTAGGAGAAGATATACAGTGTCTGAATTATTCGGTTATTTTAATGGCATGCTGCAGGAAACCGTGGTTTAGGAAATCCTGAGTCAAGTAATCTCGCTGGACAATTTGGGATGACTAGCAACACTCCACCAGCCATTGCTCAATCTTCTCTGGACTCTGATGGTAAAGCTATGTTAACAAGCGAAGCTGTGGTGGCCTCTCCTGCTAAGACAAGAAAGTTATCTGCTGAGCGATCAGAGGCTACAAGGTTTGTTCATCATGACACTCAGTTTACCATTCCTGTTTATAAATCAAAAGCTGTTCTTCCTATTATGAATTACTTAACTGCCATATTAACCGGGAACTTTTCTTCCAGCCACCAACTTCTCCAGAAACGCCAGTTCTATCATTCTCGCACAGGCCAGGTGATTCAAGTTCCTTGGACGACTTATTTTGCATGTTATTTGAATTGCACGTTATAAAATACTATCAAAGTAGACTTGGTCCCAATTCCATGTTACTCTTTCTCATTAATAGTTTGTATTTATGCTACTGTTTGTATCCACGCGAATAATTTCGATGTCCATGTTGTCACTGTTATATTGCCACTAACCAAAAAAACTGTTGCATGTTTTTGTGACAAAGCCAATGTCACTTGAGCTGGCAATGGCTGAAGAAGATAGTGAAGATGAAGTTGATGATGAGGTTGCAGATCTCGAAGATAGCCAGGTATTCCATGATTTCATTCTGAATTTCATTTAATAAATAATGAACAATGATGTATGATGTAGCTTGCTAATGGCTTTTGAAACAGATGCTTGATAATTCTGCGGATAACACTAAAGTGCAGAAAAGGTTCATGTACATTTGGAACACATTTGTAAAGAAGCAAAGGTAAGACACTTTAATACAAACATATGCACAGGTTTACGTGAGAGTCATGCTAACTATATACAATAGAAGAATTGCTTTTGCTATAGAATAGGTTATCTAATATATAGATATTGAATAGATTGATCGACGATCCACCACTAATGATTTTGGTTATGGAACTTTTGCTTAAATCAAAATATGATTTTTGTTATGGAACATTTTATGCTCAAATCAAAATATGATTTTTTGTTGCAGGATTCTCGCAGATTGTCATGTTCCTTGGGCTTGTGAAGCGTTTACAAAGTTTCACAAGATCGAATTGCTCCAATGCACATCACTCTGCTGGTAAATCTCTCCAGAATTATATATGTATTTATATAGTACACCAAGAACATTTTGTATACACAATAACAACAACATTTGTATGTTGTTCAGGTGTTGGAGAACATTTTTGGTTAGACTATGGAACTATGGACTTGTTGACGCGACCACCATCAACAACTGCAATACGTTCCTCGAGACCTGCAGAAATAACTCACGCAACACCAAAAACAAGAACAGTGTGGATCATCGCGAGGATAAGGATGCTGACGTAAACATTAATAACGATATGGAGGTTGACGACGGTGACAAGAACAGCAAAGACAAGTAATAGGAAGATCTCCGATTCAAAAACGACTCCGTTTCTCGGATTGCAACTTCCATCTTTTACCAAACAGAGAGATATTTAACCTTTTTAGCCTGCAACTGATTGCAAATTTTACTTGGGAAAATGTATTATGGTCAACTTTTTATCAGTTAAAACCTACAAATAAAACTTTTTATTAGTTATAACTTAAAATGTTATTCTTCTTGTTTTTTTCCAAATTAAATTCGTCTTTCTTGTATATTCATTTTATTTATCTCAATGCACTATTCCTTAATAGAAATGCTAGTTAGTGAGAAGATCTTTAATTAGACCATTAATGTTTGCATGGTTTTTAGATTTTGGTTTTTGGTTTTTGATTTTTCTGTAAATTTTAGGTTTTAAGAAACTGGAATGGTGAATTATTTTAGTTTTTGGATTAGAAGGAAAAAATTTGCAAAAAAAAATAAAAATAAAAAATCTCAGCAATTAATGGGAAAACCCCATATATGTTCTAGGCCTTGATTGTTTGCAGTTTTTGGAACAGATTTTTATTTTTATTTTTTCAAAAACCAATTTTTCATCCAATCATGATTTTGGTTAAAGGGATTCCCTAATTTTTATAAAAACTAGATTTTCTACTGATTTACCAATTCCTACATAGATATTTTTTTTCATTAATTGCTGAGATTTTTTATTTTTCTTTTTGCAAATTTTTTTCCTTCTAAGCCAAAAACCAAAATTTAAAAATAATTCAAACATTCATGACCCTAGTTTTGATTTTTTGATTCTAGTTTCTACGTAGGAATTGAAAAAACTATGGAAAATCTAGTTTTTCTAAAACTTAGGGAATACTTTTGATCAGAATCAAAAACTTGGTTTTTTTAAAAAAAAAAACAATTACCAAAATCTGTTCCAAAAACTGCAAAGTAGGGTTTAGATTAAGATTATAGGCATTCAAATTATAAGGCCCAATGCCGTAAGAAAAAAAAAAATTATAAGGTCCAATATTATATTTAGTTTTCCGCTTCGCATAATTTGAGGGAAAATTAGCGCGCGAAACCAAAGAAATTCGAAAAGTAAAATAAACCTCTCAAATTGCAGAAGCCTGAGGGGTAAAAGAAAGATTGAGAGAGAGAGTGTGAGACGGAGTACAGAGCTCTAATGGAGGAATTTATCTCGCTGGTACTTTTGTATAACCTACTTTCTGATTTTTGGTGAATTTGTTGAGATTTCGAGTTTATAATTTCTTTTTATTAACTGAAATCTCCGATTAATCTTTCTGGCAGGAACCTGGATACTCCGATTCGCCATCTCCCATTTCCGGTGAGTAATTAATTACTGGGGTTTAATTATCATACGCCTTAATTGCAATTCTGACATTTCTGGGTATTGATTTCCTACAGAACCACCAGATATTACGAACTGGTTTTCCAGTTATGTCTATGAATCGTTCCAATTGAGTTCTTCAGTAAAAGAAAGTGAAAGCGAACTAAATCAGTTTTCTGTTGGAGAAGAACAAGAAAATCTTGGCGTTGCTGTTCCCGAAATCAGATCTCCTGAGAAATTTGTCTCGAACAAAGATCATAAGCCTATGTACAAGAAGATGAAACAGGTAGTAATATCTCACACATTGCAGGTTTTAGGGTATTCGATTTTGTTAGAACGCTTTTAATTCATTTTACTTTTGGGCAGATTTCAGATACGACTCTCAATGAATCACTTCCTTCTGGTAAATCCTCTTGTTAAACTTATGGGGAATATGGAAAGTCTCTTAGCTGTTGATGAGATTATGTTGTAACCTAAGCTTGTTTGCTTCTCAGAACCTCTTGATATACGTAATTGGTTCTCGAGCTACGTCTATGAATCGCCGGTGCTGGATACAAGTGATGGTCTTGAATATTCGATTCCTGGAGAGAGTGAACGTGTAAAGGAGACGCAAACAGAAGAAGAGGCAACAAAAATTGATGGAAACGATGTTTGTCCTAGGTTATCTGAGCAAGAACTTGCCTCTTTTGCAAAGGTCTTGCTATTAAACTCCTGACTTTTTACTTTTTATGCCATAGTTACATCAGCTGGTTTTCTAATATAAATAATAAATCTGTGTTCTCTTAGCTCTTATTGTTTCTCAATCTGGCTGACGAATTAGTCTGTTTGCAGGTTTCAGATTTCTCTCAGTCGCAGTCTGTTCTTTCGGGTGAGTAAAGCCAGTTGTTTGTTACATATAATGTTACTATCTGTTTGCTTTGATGAAATGTGTTATTAATAAGTTGTCTCAGGATTATAGTTAAGTACGCCAGAAGTTGAATCTTACTTGTTTTATCAGAGCCTCCTGATGTCAGAAACTGGTTTCCCAGCTATGAGTATCAATCTCCTCAGCTTACAGATACTCATGAACTTGAATTTCATTCTTCTGGGAAAGACCAATTAATCATTAACGAGAGTGACACAGAGGAAGAAACTAGCTGTGGTATTTTCCGAAAAACTATGAGCAAGCAAGAGAATGTTTCTACTAGCAAGTTAAGTTCAGATGACTGCAAGGAAAACATAGCTGCAGACACGGTAGGTCATGTTCTTGAACCTTCTAGACAAAGGGAAATCATTGTAGTTTAAAGAAAGATGACTCTGGGGATCACAACAAATTATATTAAACCAGTTGTCAGTTATTATCGCACAGTTTAGTTTTGGCTTTTAATTCTGTGTTCTCTCGCTGACTTTTTCTCAATTGCACAGTTTAGTTTTGGCCTTTAATTCTGTGAGCTCTCACTGACTCTTTCTCAATTGTACATGTTAGACCAATGAGGTCTCCTCAGACAACCAAGAAATGGAAAAGAAGTCATCAGTTGGATTATTCAATGACTCAACGAAAGAAGTGAAACAAGAATCAAGCTTAGAGCAAGAACCAGTATTCTGTGAACCAAGGTGTAGTCCTCGAATTTCCCGGTACAACCCAGAGCCGCAATTTCCCTTGAAGAACGAAGCTTCTTTACATGAGCTGAGACTGCAACATATCCAAGAAACCATTTCCATGAGCTCTAGTAGACAAAAGTCTCCAAAAAAGACCGCTCAGAAGGCTTGTCTAGATGAAAACTTGGAGTCAGTAGACCAAGAATCAGATGACAAGGAAAATGCTGACAGGAAAAGCACTGAAACTGGATTTGTGACGATGAAAAGGGCGAGATTCAGAGAAGCAAGAGACCGATGTTCCATGACTAAGCCAAATAGAGGAGTTCTAATGGGGTGTTCGAGAGGTGAAGAGTTAAAGAACATAGCTGGGGAGGAAGACAAAGAAGAAAGAAAGAAGAAGAGAAGAGTTTTGGGGGAAATGTCGAATCACCAGTTCTCTGGAGCCGAGGAGATTGCAGGAAAATGGCATTGCCCTCAGAGAAACAAAGGGAAATCAGGTCCACCATTGAAACAGCTCCGACTTGATGCATGGGTACATAAAGTCTGAGTCTTTAAGAAGGCTTCAGGTTTCATCAACAATGTATCGCATTCTTTCCCTCTCTTTTTGTGTTTTTCCATATTATGCTCAAACTGGTAGATAACACAGACCGGATCAGACCAAAACTAATTCATTTAGATTCCTTTTAAATACACTATTTGAAACCCGAACCGAAACCCCCAAAAAAACCTGAATCAGATCCAAGAACATTCGTATTTGGATAAGCATTGACCATTGAGTACTAAACAAAGAAAAGACATAAAGCCTTCTTTTTTCAAAGGGAAGGTTTTTTTACCTAAACTGCTTGCACCGGGGCAAAAAACAAAATACAACAGTTCATAAATTATTTCTGGACCCGGAGAAGTTTTTCTTCAGACTCTGCATTTTTTAGCTAAAAAAGGAAAAAGGTTTTTAAAAATCAAAACTTTGGAGGGTTCACGGGTCAGATACGGTGAAGATGAGCTTCTTCAAGTATCTCCGCCGAGACAGTTTGCTCCAATTAGCCGGATTACCATCTCTCAGCCGAAACTGCATGCATCAGACCTGCCGGTCTCTCATCATTGAAACCGCTCCGCCTGAATCTGTCAAGCTTAACCGTCTCTCTGGTTCCGATTCTGGTAATTTTACTTTTCATTTTTTCCTTATCGAATTGGTGTGTTTTATGGGTTCTATTTGTTTCAGCTTAACTGTAATGGCTTTTGCTGAGCAATTTGAGTAGTTCCTTGTATCTGTTAGGGTTCATTAATACCCTTTTTTCCTGGGTTGATTGTGTTCGACTTCTCTCTGTTATGCTGTTTGTTTCTCTAGCTAAACCGTTAGTCACCAGTTCTTATTATTTCTGGTAATTTGATCTCGTCCTGAAAATATTTGTTCATTTAGTTTCTTATTTGAAGTTTGAATGTCTGAGCATAGTTATTGTCTGATCAATGTGTCGTTTCTCTAATGTTCTGGTGACTTTTTGAGTTTACACCTAATCATTGCAGAAATAGAAATCACATGAAGGAAAGATGACAAATGCACTAGTGTGTATATGTATTACAGGGATTATCGAGGTCAATCTAGACAGGCCTGTGGCCAAAAATGCCATTAATAAGGAGATGCTGAAAAGTCTCCAGAACACATTTGAGACCATACATCAGGATAGTTCCGCTAGGGTTGTGATGATCAGAAGTCTGGTTCCAGGAGTTTTCTGTGCAGGTGCAGATCTGAAGGTAGTTTTCCCACTGTAATTTCTTCTGGAATGTTGGCATTCAATATGCTAGCCATGTTTGAAAATCTCTGTTTTTCTTTATTTGTTGTGATGTCAGGAACGTAGAACTATGAGTCCATCTGAGGTTCACACATATGTCAACTCGTTGCGCTACATGTTCTCGTTCATTGAGGTACTATGCTCATATATCCTTGTTGGTTCTCATAGATTAGATTAGCTGCTACCCTCATTCGTGAAAAGATTGTTCGGTAAAGTTAATTGTCAATTTAAGTATGTTTGGCATTAATCTATACAAAGTTTCTCATCAAATCGTTAGGAAGAACTTCTACATTTGTAGACTTAGCTTTACTTTCTCAGGATTCGGAATTTAATTGTCTTTAATATTACAAAACAGAAGAGATATGGATAGTGCTTTTTTAGGGATATATGAAAATTATTTGAAGTACTTGTTTAATTATTCTCCGCCCGAGCTTCATGTATTCTTTTATTTCCATGTAAAAGCTTTAGGATTTGAGTCTTCATGAGATTGGCATATGCTATAGTGACTTTGAAGACTTTTGTTTTCTAGGCACTGAGTATCCCTACTATTGCTACAATAGAAGGTGCAGCACTGGGAGGTGGACTTGAAATGGCTCTATCCTGTGATCTTCGAATCTGTGGTAATTTTTTCATATCTTGTTAATTTTTTTTAATTGTAATCTACATGCCAAGATGAGAAATTATTGTAATACTCCGAATTTTTTTCAGGCGAAAATGCAGTATTTGGCTTGCCTGAAACAGGGCTCGCTATAATCCCTGGGTACAGAATAAGCTTCATTACTCTTGATAAAAAGATTCTCTTATCATCACCCTTTCTATTAGTGTTGTGATGATTTCTTTCTCTTGGCTATTAAAGGGCTGGTGGGACACAGAGGCTCTCGAGGCTGGTTGGGAGATCGGTATCAAAGGAACTCATATTCACAGGTCGAAAGATTGATGCAAGAGAAGCTGCACACACAGGTCTTTGACTATTAAAGTTGCATTTCTCATAATGATTCGTGATCTTGTTTTTTGATATATACTTAGATAAAAGATGATTCATATGCTCTCTTTTGTGTGTGTGTGTGTGTGTGTGTGTGTGTGTGTGTGTGTGTATGTTGCAGGGCTTGTGAACTTTTGTGTTACGGAGGGTGAGGCTCATAAGAAAGCAATTGAAATTGCTCAGCAGATAAATGAAAAAGGTCCAATGGCTATAAAAATGGCGAAGAAAGCGATTGATGAAGGAATAGAGACGAATATGGCTTCAGGTTTGGAGGTAGAAGAGATGTGTTATCAGAAGCTTCTTAATACCGAAGATCGTCTTGAAGGATTAGCTGCTTTTGCTGAGAAGCGTAAGCCTTTTTACACTGGCAAGTAAAAGATCTTTATCTATTTAATTTCAAAAAACCGGGGGAGATTACCATTGAATTGGATGTTAATAACCGGGGATAGTTTCGGATCACATAATGTGTATGACACAGAAAAGAAGGAAATAAATATCACTGTTAGTGTTCGTGCATTCATGGACTTGATAATTGGTTATACTTTTTGCATATATTTTAAGCTAATGGAACGTTTACTTGAACTTTGTTTCATAAGTTTTAATTACCCATACGTCATCTGATCTCTAGTAGTTGCAGAAATGTTATTTGCAGTGTTAATATATCTAATAACTTTGCTAAGCAACGTTGTGCATAAAAGTATTATACACACTATTTCCTTGAAAGATTTGAAAGTCTAAAAGTAAAAATGGGAAAAAATGGTTTGGAGTCAGTAAAAGTAGCCGACCAGTGATCCACCGACCCATCAAAGTGGTGCCAAAATGATGTGTTGATGATTAGACTCTTTTTCCAATTTGACGTGTCAAAGTTATCTCAGTGATTCTTGACTAAATCATAAACACTGAATTTGCATGAAAAAACTAATGTTTCTATTTATCAAAACAAAATTATTAAGAACCATTATATTTTAGTGATTAAATCAACAATGCAAAGATTATGGACACTCGTAACTCTAAGCGATAGGAATTTATTTATGGAATAGTGTAGCACTTATAAATAACTGTTAACCTAAAATCAATAAATAGCTGAGGTTTAAAATCAGTGAAGACTAAATTATAATGAATTCAAAAACAATAAACTTCAACAACATAAGAATAGGATAAATTCGGTTCTTGTTATTCCTTTTATGGATTTTAAAGTTCATTATATTCAAAAGGTATAGATGCTTTGTGGACAAGTTCGGTCTTGATGAAAGAAAAAGAATCGTTACTAGTATTTATTAGTCTTCTCAGGTCCGGTGAACAAAATCAAATGTGTTAGATCTAGTACTTAAGTGTCTTATTTTTTTAAAAACATTGATTTTGTTAGTAATAGTTGTTTACTTTAATGTTTTAAGACAGCTGCTACGTAAGAAGAAAGCTTTAGCGTAACCAGACCAAAAGAAGGGAATCCAGATTCTTCCGGGGTCATATGCCTACGCGACCTCTGCGATATTCTTTAAATGATCAATTAATTACCCCTTAATTATTCTACACTTAACACTTAACAAGTTTTATAATCTGCTCCCTTTTCTGCATTACCCGACCAAGATTATCGGGTTCATAATTTTTGGCCTTGTTACGAAATTGTATTTTCGAAATGACTGTGTTTTCATTTTAACCAAGTCGATAACTTTCAAGTGGGGATTCTTGGGTTCGAATCGCTTTGGCCACCTAACCGCATTTTAAATTTGGAATATTTTCGAACGCGTACTTGGATGCAAGGCCTCATACTCGGATGCAAGGCCTCGTGAAATTAGTCTTTGAGCCTAGAAAACCTTTGAAATCCCATTATTAAATTAAAAAAAAAAATGACTGTGTTTTCATACTTACGCTTAACATTATAGCAAAAAAACAAGAAAAAGAATTTTAACTGATATATCAGATACTCTACTTTGCCCTATATACTATATGGAAAATTTCTAAGTAAATTTTGTTTTTTTTTTTTTAAGTGAATTTATACTTTCTATGTCTATCCGTCTCATAGATACTACACACTTTTCAACCCAAATATGAGTTTTATTTAGATTTTAAACTTCTTATAACTAAGTAATATAAGTTTTAGTCTGATTTGAAATGATATAATTCATTATTTGATAAAATTACTAATATGTTATTTAAAAAATACTCTGTTTTTATTTGTTCCATTATATTAAGTAAAGCAATTTCTATGGACTTTTGTGTTAAGACCAAACGAATCTAAATGGTATATATTTTTTTTAAAGTATCTTAAATTTCGTCTAATTTTTAAAAATAGTTATATTTTCCATTTTTTAATTTTTGTATTCATACATTATGTCCAAAATATATTGAATTCCGATAATAATAATATAACAGTAATATAAACACCACAAAACTACAAATTTTCAATGTAACATTTGGATCTTAAAACCGTATCAATTTTTAATAGGGATAGCGATTCTCCAATCGCTGTCAATCTTCATAAATAACGTTAGAATTAGGTGATTAACTGTACTATGTATGAAATAAATATTAATTATAATTTTTTTATTCGAATATATAAATATAATGTATATAAATACAACTATAGAAATATTAGCTGATATTAAATGTCGTTTAAATTTTAAAAATAGTTATACCATCCTTTTTTTAATTTTTGTATTCATACACTACATCCAAAAATTGAATTCCAATAATGATATTATAACGGCACATATAAACACCACAAAACTACAAACTTTCAATGTAACATTTGGATCTTAAAACTATATCAGTTTCAAGTAGTGATAGTGATTCTCCAATCGCTGTCAATCTTCAAAAATAACGTTAGAATAGTATTAGAAACCAAAACTATTGGGAGTGAATTCACACATCAACTTGGATTTCAGATTTTGTTCTCTTCAATCTCTTTTTTTTTCTTCTTACATTTTCAAAAAATAACAAAAGAAAGAAAAAAAAAAAAAAAGCAGAACTTAACCTCTAAGTCTTAGCATTTCCACTATTAACTTCTTCCAAATCCTCTTTCATCACCAAACTAAAAGAACCTTTACGACACTCACTTTCTCTCTGATGGTGGAAGCAAGAAGCTCCAAGAAAACCCAATTGGGTAATAAAGAAGATCATAACCCTAGAAAATTCTACTCTCGATTCCTCTTCAAAGCTCTACTCCTCGCCGTTTTTTGCGCCATCGTACCGATCTTCCTTTCTCAGACGCCGGAGCTCGCTAACCAAACCGGACTCCTCGAGCTTCTCCACCTGATTTTCGTCGGCATCGCCGTCTCTTACGGCCTCTTCAGCAGCCGGAACTATGACGGAGGAGGAGGAGACGGATCAAGCAATAACGATCACAAAGCTGATCATAATAATACTAACTCGCATTCCTATGTGCCTAAGATTCTTGAAGTATCCTCTGTTTTCAACGTTGATCAAGAGAGTGAATCTGAGCCGTCCGATGATTCCTCCGGCGACCACCGTAAGTTTCAGACATGGAGGAACAAGTACCACATGAAAACCCCCGATGTTGTTCTTTCCAAAGATCACGAGACTCGTTTCGTCGATCGAGTTAGTTCTGAAATCAGAGAAAAGCCTCTGCTTTTGCCTGTTCGCAGCTTGAATTATTCGCGGGTTTCTGATTCCGGCGATCACTCCGGTCGATGGGAGAAAGTGAGATCAAAGAGACAACTCCTCAAGAGTCTCGTTGATGATAACAGTGATGTGCTTCCTTCACCGATTCCATGGAGGTCAAGATCATCTTCATCATCATCATCTTCAAAAGAGATCGAATCTCAGCCGTCGGTTAAGAAGCTGGGTACAGTTGAATCACAGCCGTTGATCAAGACTCAGGCGAATCTGACACCATCTTCCTCTTTCTCTTCTTCACCGAGAAAGTCGACGCCTTTACCTAAGCCCACATCAGAGTCTGGAGCGAAATCGGCGGAAATCGTGAAAAGGCAGGAATTTCTCGAATCACCGTCACCTCCTCCTCCACCGCCGCCTCCGCCGTTACCGGCGTTTTATAACTCGGCGTCGAGAAAGGATTATCCTCACGGAATTTACAGGACTGGATCAAGAGAATCAGCTCACAAGACGAAATTTACAGGCGGTGAGTTTCATCCTCCGCCGCCTCCGCCGCCACCACCTCCGGTGGACTATTACAAGTCGCCTCCGACAAAAGTCAGAGTAAGCAGCAGCGAACGGAGAAAATCGTCGGAGCAAAAGATGAAATTGGATGACTATTCAGAAAAAAGAAACTCTCCTAAAAAGGTTTGGTGGTCTGATCCAATCGTGGAATCGAAGGAACATAGAATTATCAGACAAGACACGGAGAAGAACGATCGAAGAAGTTTCTTGGGAAGCAAGGCGATTGAGGAATCGGAGGATGAAGAACATAAAAGAGAAGAAAACGAAACCCACGACGATGATGAGAAGAAGAAGATAGAAGAGGAAGAAGAAGTTAGTGGGAACAACAGTGACGTGGACAAGAAGGCTGATGAGTTCATTGCCAAGTTCAGAGAACAGATTAGGTTACAAAGAATCGAATCCATCAAGAGATCTGCTAATAAGAACTCTGTCAATTCTTCGAGGTAGAACGTACGTATTTATAAATATTTAAGAACGTAAAGAGTAGAAAACATTTTCAATTTACTCTGGTTATCATCATAAGATTGTAATTTTAAGGGGAAGAAGACATATTTTTGTTATCTTTGTTCTTCAGACAGAACAAAATAGGAACTTGGAACTCAGATTGATTACCTCTCTTTCTTGTTTCTGGATTTTCGCATGAAAGACTTTTTAGTGTCATAATAACATTTAGTGTTGGGCTAAGTGGGTGGATAAGAAGTGGCCCAAATGGCATATATTCAGCCCATACTCATGTAAAGGACAACAAGGGACTGTATGACAGTATGAGTATGACCATATATGGTAATCTCCTCGTCAGTTGTAAGTTGAAAACATACAAACACACCAGCAGATTTGGGCCCATACATGTATTTTGATTAATTCAACTAGTCGTTGTTAGTTGGGTGAAAGTAAGCGCCTTTGATTAATTCTTGTTTGTTTGGGTGAAACTGAGATGAATATTATCAGGCCCCAAGCTATACTAGTTCAAAACCTCAAACACAAGATTATTTTTAGTTAGATCCTTTTTTAACTAAAGTTGCATTCATTGTAAAAACAGTTTTTTTTTTGGGTTCGAAAATACTTTTATATTCAATTCAAAAAAAAAAAATATATATATATATATATATATATATTATCAGATCCCAAAACTCTTGATTTAACCAATAACTAGATTTTACCCCGTGCATCCGCACGAAATTTTTTTTAGTCAAAAATTGTAACATAATTTATGTTTTCTTTATAGATTTATTTTTTCTAATAAGTGACAGAAATTTACTTTTGCATTTAATTATAATTTTTTTTAATTTTTTTTAGTATTATTATGATCACTATCATAAAATCATAATTCTAACCCGATCATTTTATTAACTGAAAAATAACTATTATTATAAAAATATATTTCTAAGTCGTTCATTTATTAATCCGAAAAGAATCATGGTTAAAAGACCATAATTCTAACCCACCTGTTTATATTACTATATAATATAAATATTTACTAATTTTAAAATAATTTTTATCTTAATATTCTGCATGTTTTGATAACATAATCCGTATAAGAGCACAATTATAAAAAATACATAACTCATCCCATCAAATTACTATATAATATTAATATTTATCATTTTTCAATGCGTGAAATTTTAGTTTGATTGAATATGATTGGACAAAAATAATTTGTTAATCATATATGTGTTATTTTGAAATTATTTAAATTTTAAATGTTAAATCAAATCTAACATATATTAAAAAAATTATAGAGTAATTTTAATTAATATCTATTTTTCAAAAAATAAATAGTTTAAAATTTAAAGCAAATATGATGTATATTTAAAGAAATCTTTAGATATATAAACTAATATCAATTTTTCAGAATAAAATTTATATATAAAAATATGTTTTTAAAATAATATTGCAATAAAATAAGATAATCTTAAAACAGTTTCTAAACAATTTTTTTTAAAAAAAAAACTTTGAGAGTGTTTGGATGCAAGCACTAAAAGTGCTTCTGTTTTAATAGAATATCTTTTCATAGTAAATACTTGAACGCTTAAATTTAAAGGAAAAAAAAAAGAGTAAATGTGTTAATCAGACCCCAAGATCAAATACATAAAAATGTTTGTTATGCACTGACCAAAGAAATTGTTATTCACCAAGACTAGAATCGGCTCCTTTAACCCGTGGAGCCATCGGGTTTGCATTGGCCAAGAAATACTTGGATAAGATAGACATGGTAACAAGTAAAGAGCTGAAGTTAAGTTGTCGAGACACCGTAGAAAGAAAGTAGTGGTTCCAAATAGAAGAAATCGCGGATGCGTCAGAATATACAATAAAACTTCTATAAATTAATAATGTCGGGACCACGATATTTTATTAATTTATCGTAATAATAATTTATCTATAAATTAATAAATTATTAATTTATAGAGGAAAATTATTCTTCGTCCATTTTTTTCTTAAATTTTCTTTCATTGGTGCTATATTTAAGAATCTAAACCCATATGCTTATAAAATAATATGCACAAACTTAAAATTATGATTAATAATCATAGCAATCGCAATAGAATAGTTATTTCTATTTGTTAATTGTGAACTGGATTATCTATGTAAGAATATAAATGTTCATTAGTACAAAATTTATAAAACATTATGGCTACTATCCTTAACGTTGGTGCTGAAACTGAAGACAATACCTAATATATTTCAAAACAGTTACGCTAAAAAAATCAATATCACATCTAAAGTTTTAAAAAATAACATTATATAAAAGATATTGATGTAAACAAGTAAAGAGATGATTTTCAATAAAATATCAAATTTAAATAAATTCAAATAACATATTAATCATATTTTAGTATATATTATCTTACCTATATATACATAAATTTATATAATTATTAATTTATATTTTTGTTGGGACCATATTTTTACAAAGGGGTTTCTAATAAAATTATTATCTTATTATCTTATCGAATTTGACGGATTTTTACACTAGTCCCGACTCGGGACCAGAGAAATTTATTAATTTATAGTGATTATTAATTTATCGAGTATTAATTTATAAAAGTTCAACTGTATTAAGTTACAAATTAGCAGTATGCACATTGCATACAGATGTTTTTTTTTGTCGTCCAATGATAACATATAGATATATATATATATATAAACCTGTTTTAGAAAGGCCATATAACTTTACATAGAGCAGAAACATTGTTGATAATGAGGTAAGTCGGTGAAAAATTCAAGAACTTGATTTAAGTTTAGAACTATATGGAGATAAACTTTCACTACACACTTAATGCTACCACCTAGCCGATCAACCATCTCGTGGGCCTCTTGGCCATGGAAAGTCGATCTTGAATAGACCAACAAAGATCTTCTCATTTTAACTATTAACAACAACAACAATTGCTGAATATATTAGAAATTTCAACTATTTTAACTTACTATTTAATATTTTTAACATTATCGCTTATGCCAAGTGAAATGATATAAGACCATTATATTTTGTTTAAAACGTACTTGTCTGTTTGTCACTAGACACTAATCTATTCTATTCAACAAATCTTATTTTTGATATTCAACAAAAACATTTAATTCTGATAGTTGTCGAAAATAAATATGGGACAATAAATATTGCAGCAAAAAAAACTATGGAAACTCTTTCAAGCAATAAATGTATATCGGATAATTGGCTGTCAACATTTGTTGTTACTTGTTAGCATGAACACGATGGTTTTAAGGGAGAAAAATAATCTGTTTTTTCTTTTTTTCTTTCTAAAAATAGTACATACATGTTAACAACTACATGCATATCTTGGTCCCCCTGAAAACGAGTAAAAATGACCGAAATGCCCTTTAGTTGCAAAACTAAAAAGACTAAGACCGAGGACGAAGAGCGTCAAACGTCAAGCCGTGAGAAATCCTCGTAGCAGGAGCCCACGCATTGACCTGCAATGACCGGTGGTGGTGTGCTGACGTGGCAGCCTGAGATGATGGTGGTGGTGGTGGTGGTGGGACCGACACGTGTTCACACGAAGGGCACATGGTCAAAGTGGTGGGTGGGTTCATGTGCATGTAGAACTGAGGAGAGAGCTTAAGCGATCTTAACTCCGTTACTTCTTTCTGTAGCCGACGATTCTCTTCCGTTAGATTCTCGCAGCATCGCCGTAAGAACTCGCAGTCAACCTCCGTTTGCTTCAGCTTTGTCCTGTTGAAAATTACCAATATACCCTTATAAGTAATTAGGGGCAAATCAGGGAAATAAAAGAGATCTGAGTGTGTGTGCGTGTGTTTTCTTTTTTCTTACCTTGCTCTTCTGTTCTGAAACCAAACTTCCACTTGTCTTGCTCTTAATCCTAATTGCTTAGCCAACGCTTGCTTCTGTTTCTGTTAAAAACAAAAATTAAATTGACCTTGATTCAGTTAAAAATTTTGTAAACGCAAATTTACAAACTAAATATTAATAGCTGCATTAATTGACTCACCAAAAAGTCAAAAACTAATGTACTAACAGTCATGTTAATTGCGAATATTCACTATGAGCGTTTTTTTTCCGATTCCAGAAACCACTATTCCATGGCCAATATTTTCCCGGGAAAACCAAAATTTTCTCCAGGTGAGAAAATAGGTAAAAGAAAAAAAATTTACCGGATTGAGAGTACTGTGATCTTTGAAGGTCTCTTCGAGAATAGCAGATTGATCTTTGGAGAGTCTAAGCTTCTTCCTCGAATTATCACCGTCTTCATCGTCACTGATCCCCCTTGATCCTTGCGGATCTGTATCCTCTTCTCTCTCACTCCTTTTTCCGGTGGAGCTTGAGACTGTGCTGTTAGGAGAAGATACTCCGGCGTCTTCATCTCCGTATTCCGCCGTTGACGGTGGTCTGTTCACGTCGATTCCACGGATGAATGTTCTTGTTTCTACACGACTTGAATCTGAGTTGGGTACTGCATGCATAAGATTGAAAGTATAAAAAAGGTGAGGTTTTGATTGGTTTTCCGGGAAAATGGTTTTTTTTTTCCCTCATAGGAAAGTGAAAACAGAGAAACTCATAAAGCTATGGTGTACCTGAAGAATTAAAACTCTCGTTCAAAGATGATCTTCGGAGTAATCCAAAAGAGGAAGAAGATGGAGTAAGAGAAACAGAGGGATTGGATTTGAGATTCATCTGTTTCTTGGGAAAATTTAAGCCGAGGCTCAGACCCAGATCATCTTTCTCCAACATCATCTTCGTTTTGCAGCAAAGTTTTCTGCTTTTCTTTTGAGAGAGAAAGAGAGGGAGAGAGAGAGAGGAGAGATGATGAATGGCAAACAAGGAAGAAGACTGGTTAATATAGAGAGGTAGAGAGAGAGAGATTTATGTTATTAATTTTCTTTTTTCAATCATGAGTGTGTGACTAGCTGGGGGCAAAATCATTATTATTTAAATCATTTAATTATTGAACCTTTAGTTCGTAGAAATAATTTTATAATCACAAACATTGCTTCTTTGTCCCCCTCTAACTCTCTAAACCCAAACAAATGATCAAATCTAAGAAAATATGATAAAATAACAATTATAGTCGCACTATTAATGATTATGTTAATATATTAATATTAATGTAACATTAATATTCTCAGTCAAAGATGATATCAAACAATCACTAATAGTTCATCTTTTAGGATAGTCATATGACTTTATAGTGGACATCTCTTCCTCTTAATTAATAAACAAATATGACAAGAACAAAATCTAATAGTGATAAATATCTTCATTTTAGTTTTATTTACTTTATTTTAAACGAGTGTATGTGTTACTCTCATGTTTTCATCATTTGAATGCTTAGTCGTAAGAGGATATGAAGTAGTCAAAAAAATTTACAAAGTCTCTTTGAAAAGTAATTGGAGATTATATTTTTCAGTATACTACTCCATGTAATTGGAGTATTTTGTAACAACCTTGTAAATTACCATGTACGGCCAACAAAACTAGTCAAACTTTAATAATTTTCTAAGAATCTATTAAGTGCTCTTCACGATTTGACTTTATTTCAAGAGATTTTTAAAGAATATGTCTGTAAGGTAGAAAAGTAGAAATGATAATGCAAATCTATCCTTTTGATTGCTGTTGTCGAAAAGGAGTAAAAAATGATTACCCTTCTTAATGGCTCTAAATGCCAAGAGTCACGCTTGTTGCACACTTTTAAACCTTTAACTTTTTCCACTTTTTGATTTTTGTTTATATTTTATTAGTACTATTTTTTAACAAGTTTTTTTTCTTTGTTTTTTACTTTTAAGCATCGCTGATTAAATTAAGTAATTCACTAATGAAAGCCAAATAAAACGGTTGAATAGATTTCAAACTTCTTTTTGTGAAACATTGAAGAATTCAAACTTCTTTGCAGATTTTCTTGTTCTAACGCATGAGTCGACCGCATGAGTTTTACTTTTGTCGTTGAACCACTTAATGACCAGGAAATAATAAATGATGAGAGAGTGTCATCATATGCAATAAATGTTTGTCTGTGAGGTAGTAATTATTATAATTAAACACTATTCCTAACATCAAAAAGCAAAATATTTAAATAAATCACTATTTTTCTATAGTTTTACATTTGTAATTTAAGTAACACTTTTTTAATACACACATGCTATTGCTTTTGTAAATTACTCATAAGGAGGTGCATTGAACTGAACATTTTAGATTTATTTAAATTAAAATGACAAATTTTAGTTTACTCAAACATGAATTTTAAAAAATATTTTAAAATTCAGTTTTTATTAAATATAAAACTTGAAAATATTTTTTAAAATCTACTGTTATTGAATATGTTTCAAATACTGAGATTTTATTGATTTCAAGAGATTTGGAAGAGATTTATAGTTTTATGTAAAATTTTAAAGAATTTTAAAACAAATCATGACAACTTCCTTAAAATAATCGAAATCATCTTAATTTTTTTTAAACTTAAATCACTTCAAATGTTTATTCCAATCCCCCCCCCCCCCCCCAATAATCTCTATATTATTATCTAAGGAATAAATTGAAAAATAATCTTTATTTTGTAAATTATTACATAATAAGGCCTTATAAATAATTAAAATATATAATGATATAATTATCTTTTAAAATTATTTAAAAAATTTTGAAAAATATTTTTATTTAATATAATGTTTACTATTTGATTTTTAAATATTATAATATCAAAATATCATATGTTTTAAAATAAATAATCAATCTAAATAGATTAAAAATATTTGAAATCTTACAAAATGTTTTACTGTAATTTATGTTATTGTATTTTTTTAATACATATCAAAATAAAAATTAAAAGAGGTTTATATTTAGCCCATTTTAACATGTATTACATAAATTAATTTATTTTTAACAAATTTATCTATAATTAATTAAATATATAATAAAATTCAAAAAGATAAAATATTTTTAAGAAAAATCCTCTGCTATAGTGCGAATTAAATCATAGTATTTTTATATAATGAGTAAAACAAGAGAATTTATTATTTACTAATTCCAAAAAATGATACTAATTGCATAGAATAAAATAATTTTAACGAAACAATATTTTTGGACTTTTCAACAAGATTTAAGCTTTGTGTATATTAGAGATGTTAAAACATAAAAAAAAATATATAATATACACATATGTTGTAATACGTAACACTATTTTGTTTTTATTAATTATAAACGAGGTTTCAATCAACTTTTACAATTACAATTAATGACATTATAAATTAATGGTTAGATGTTGTAATGGGAAATCATTTACTCCCTCTGTTTCACAAAGAATGTCGTTCTGACATTCTTCACACAAATTAAGAAATAAGATAAAAAGTCTCTTATACCCTTATTAATTTGCAGAAAATGACTCTTAAAATTATATTTATAATTAATTTTCTGAATTTATTGAGGTTAAAAATTGTATTTTATGTTAAAAATTACATTGGAATTCTAAAACGACATTCTTTTTTAAACAAAAAAAAGTGTCAGAACGACACTCTTTGTGAAACAGAAAGAGTAATAATTTTATATCAACTGGTTACTTGTTAAATCTTATAAATATTGAAAATTATTTTTTAAAAATATTATATTGGCAAATGACACATACCACCGTTAGATATTTAGAAAATAACCATTGAACCATTTCACATCTATGGTGAATTGTGACTTGTGACTTGTGACTATGCTATCATAAAGTTCGATTAAATCAGCATCAAAATTGATTCCTTTTATTAGTTGCAACAAAAATTTTCTTCCCTTCAAATCCTTAGAGGATATCATTAATCCAGCATTAACAGTAAGGGTCCTAGTGACACGCTAAACTAAGAAATGATCATAAAATGAAAAGAAATGAACAGCTGAGAATAAATCTATTGAAAACAAAAGTTGAGATGAGATCGTACGGTTGAAAAAACGTTTTAACTGGTGGGAACCACTTAATCCAGCTACATGTTTTGACAACCATCAAATATGAATTGGATCAATATGATTGGAACCAGACACACAAACTTTTCGTCGATCTGATTTCAATAATCAATGTGGGTCCAATTTATAGTCGTTTTTTGTATGTGCAATGACAATGGTCACATACTGACATACGAGCCAGATTTTAAAAGAAGTTTCCTTTAACTTTTTTTTGTATAGAAAATGTTTCCCTATCTTTTGATGGTAAAAAAATGTTTTTACTATAATAATAAAGCTTTCTGCAAAAAGAAGAAAATAAAAAAGAGGATGGAATCAGAAAAAAAGGGAGAACAAATAAAATAATTTTTTTTACCATATTGTTTAGTCCATAGCTTATTTTACAAGGAAAATAGATGTTTTTTGTAAGTCTTTTCGCTCGTACGTAACTAAACAATAATCTAACAAAATTGAAGAAATTTCAGTGTAACGTTTTTGTTAATATTTTAGAAGAGTGTGATATTAATGTTCCGGTCCATAGTTATTTGCAACTTTGAAAATGGAGATTATTAAGTCAAGAATACTGTATATTAATTCTTCCGTTTCCAAAAAAAAAAATATATTAAGTCAGGTTTAAAAACATAAGAAAATTATTAGGTCAAGAAAATATATATTTATCACCCCTCAAGATATGTTTGTCTTTCTTTTTTAGGGTCTACGTATTACATCGAAAATATGACAATGATTTGTATGATCATACATGTCTGCAATTCAAATTAAACCCCGATTATTTTTGGTCAGAATAAAAATTGAATAGATAGAATTATCTTAAAAATCTGACTTGCTGGCACAAAGAAAAAAAGAGTTATCTTTACTTATTATATCTCGTCATGGTTTATTTCCTTTGATGATAGGGACATTAAGTTATTCTCATGTAATATATATATATATATATATATATATATATATTAGCTTATACGCTGTGCTAATTTTTAATTCAATGTGTTTTACAGTACATACTAAAATCATAGTAAGCCAGAGTTGTCATATTATTGCTTTCTTTAGTTGTCATCATATTATTGGCCAAAGTAAAAATAGATAAATTGTTAGAAATCTCTTTTAATAAAATATAAAAGAAACTCAAATGTAATACTTATATAAAGTCACCAGGTAACTTTCAAAATTTAGTTTATAAATTAGAATAATCCGGTTAGTGACTTATTTGAATGGTTATTATTTTATTGTATTATATATATATATATATAATTGGTTACCACTTTTAAATAAAACGATTAGAAATTTTTAAACGATTGTAAAGTTCGTAATTGGAAAAATAACAGTTAAAAATAATGATTGAAAAAAGCGGTTTGATAACGGTAATTTAACCACTTATTTCAAATTAACACTTCGATGATTTGAAGTCATTAAAGTGATTCGTTTCTAAACGCTGTATTCTTTTTCATTATCATCGCCTCTCAACAACAACTAATAATTCAGTAACTACTTTTAAACAAATAGGTGTCATCAGAGTTTAATCTTTTACGACCGACGAGTGATAACAAGCACTATGATGTATTTTATGTTGATTTTTTATATTAATTTATTGTAGTAGGAAGTTTGTTGATTAATAGTATTTTCTTTTATGTCATTACGTATTACTGTTTTGTGCGAACTGGTTAAAACTACTCATATATATATGTATATATATATATATATATATCTCTCTAAGAATACTTAATGTAAATTAGTTTTGAGATGCAACAGTACAATTAAACCTTATAATTGTATATCTTAAAAATGACTCTAGATTTCACTTTTATTGTCTATGGACCAAAAAAAAGTGGTGGAGTACACGTGGGGATGCAGATAATAATGTGGGCAATTTTAGAAAGGTAAAC